TACCATTCTGTTGGTCCTTGTCATCTTCACTCTGCTTATCGTCTGGGTTTCTTCCTTCTACCGCTCCAACGGCATCGTCGACATCCTTCGCTTCACCCTCGCCATCACCATTATCGGTGTCCCCGTCGGTCTTCCCGCCGTCGTCACCACCACCATGGCTGTCGGTGCTGCTTACCTTGCCAAGAAGAAGGCCATCGTCCAGAAGCTGTCCGCCATTGAGTCCCTGGCTGGTGTCGAGATTCTCTGCTCTGACAAGACCGGTACCCTCACCAAGAACAAGCTTTCCCTGGCCGAGCCTTACACCGTCGCCGGTGTCGACCCCGAGGACCTCATGCTTACCGCTTGCTTGGCTGCTTCCCGCAAGAAGAAGGGTATGGACGCCATCGACAAGGCTTTCTTGAAGTCGCTCCGCTACTACCCCCGCGCCAAGTCTGTCCTGTCCAAGTACAAGGTCATTGACTTCTTCCCCTTCGACCCCGTCTCCAAGAAGGTCACTGCCCTCGTCGAGTCCCCCGCCGGTGAGCGCATTACCTGCGTCAAGGGTGCTCCCCTTTTCGTCCTCAAGACCGTCGAGCAGGACCACGAGATCCCCGAGGAGATTGACCAGGCCTACAAGAACAAGGTTGCTGAGTTCGCCACCCGTGGCTTCCGCTCTCTCGGTGTTGCCCGCAAGCGTGGTGACCACGGTGCCTGGGAGATCCTCGGAATCATGCCCTGCTCTGACCCCCCTCGCCACGACACTGCCCGCACTGTTAACGAAGCCAAGTCTCTCGGTCTGTCCATCAAGATGTTGACTGGTGACGCCGTCGGTATCGCTCGTGAGACTTCCCGCCAGCTCGGTCTCGGCACCAACATCTACAACGCTGAGCGCCTCGGCCTCGGTGGCGGTGGTGACATGCCCGGTTCCGAGGTCTACGACTTCGTTGAGGCTGCCGATGGTTTCGCCGAGGTCTTCCCCCAGCACAAGTACAACGTCGTCGAGATTCTTCAGCAGCGTGGCTACCTCGTTGCAATGACTGGTGACGGTGTCAACGATGCTCCCTCGCTGAAGAAGGCTGACACTGGTATCGCTGTCGAGGGTGCCTCCGACGCCGCTCGCTCCGCTGCCGACATTGTCTTCCTTGCCCCCGGTCTCGGTGCCATCATTGACGCCCTCAAGACTTCCCGCCAGATTTTCCACCGCATGTACGCCTACGTCGTTTACCGTATCGCTTTGTCCATCCACTTGGAGATCTACCTTGGTCTGTGGATTGCCATCCTCAACCGTTCCCTGAACATTGAGTTGGTCGTCTTCATTGCCATTTTCGCCGATATCGCCACCCTGGCCATTGCCTACGACAACGCCCCCTTCTCCAAGTCCCCCGTCAAGTGGAACCTGCCCAAGCTTTGGGGTATGTCCGTTCTTCTCGGTATCGTCCTTGCCGTCGGTACATGGATCACTGTCACCACCATGTACGCTCACCCCGGCGGTGGTATCATCCAGAACTTCGGTAACCTCGACGAGGTTGTCTTCCTTGAGGTCTCCCTCACTGAGAACTGGCTCATCTTCATCACCCGTGCCAACGGTCCTTTCTGGTCCTCCATCCCCTCGTGGCAGCTGTCTGGCGCCATCTTGGTCGTCGATATCCTCGCCACCTGCTTCTGTATCTGGGGTTTCTTCGAGGGTGGTCAGCAGACTTCCATCGTTGCCGTCGTCCGTATCTGGATTTTCTCTTTCGGTGTCTTCTGCGTCTGCGCTGGTGTATACTACATGCTCCAGGACAGCACCGGTTTCGACAACCTGATGCACGGCAAGTCCCCCAAGGGCAACCAGAAGCAGCGCTCGCTCGAGGACTTCGGTAAGTTTTATATCCCCCAAACTACCCCACAATATGTGTCTTGTTACAGAACAGCAGCTAACCGTTTCATCAGTCGTCTCCCTGCAGCGTGTCTCCACCCAGCACGAGAAGTCGCAGTAAAGAAGAATCTCTTGGCAGAGTCGGGCTTGACTACGACGCTACTTGCGCCGTTACAATGCTCCGTCGACTCCGCGGGATGATCTCCCTGGGCCTGTTGAATCTGGCCCCTATTGAGACCGGAGGAGACGTGGACTTGTGACCACGAATTTCATCTTTCTCTATGTTTAAAATTGTACGATGAACTTCATCGGTAATTACTGCGATTGAGTTGGAGCGAGAGAGAGGAGGGGAATACCCTAGTGCGTTGATAGACCTAATACAAATCGTTAAATCAAGTAAACATACATTCCAATGTACCGTTCTTATATGTGATGGGACTATTCACCAACTTGGCCTAAATCCCGGATTCTAGCACGCTACTTGCCGCCCCAATCCTCTAATGATACACAAGTTTACGTCCAGATGTACATGTGGTTCACATGTCACTTTCGTGAAAGGTAGCGAATTGTAGGAGTAATTGTTTGAATTAAATAGTCACGTGGTCTACTGAGGCACGACGACTTCCTTGGAAGTATCCAGCTCCTCGTGTCTTCTCAGGTCCATCTCGCGGTCGAGCAATGGCTTAACATAGGGATCAAAGGTCTTCCAGTACGGGTTCTCGAGGTGGTACTTTTGGCTCTGCACATGGAGAACAACGGATCAGCAATCTGTCAAGCGCCGAGGTTGGGACGTTTGGGAGGGCAATGGAGTGCTGGAGCACGAAGTTTTTGTATAAAGATTGTCGTGCGTGTTTTGTGCGTAACGAACTGGGTGTTTGTGTGTATGTATGCGTGCGTGGGTTTGTGGGCTTCTTACATATTCCGTCTCGAAGCGCTCGACAATGGTAAAGGACCTGGGGTCGTGGACGTCCTGCATGACGAACCAGCTGACGGTCTCGCGATCTTGGGAGTAGACGCGCGAGGCCTCGATGAGCTTTGCCTTTATGCGTTCGACCGAGTCGGGGTGGTCGTTTGCGTGGAGGTGGACGGTGAGTGTGTAGACCATGATGGGCTTCTAGGCAAAGTAGACTGGCTCGAGGGGGGGTTGTCGAAGGATAGGTTATGACGAGCAATTGCTTCGAGGGGGTTCGAGTGTAATGATGATGGTGGTGGTGGTTTGGAAGGATGTTGAGGCGGGGTGTAGGAGAGGAGGGGGGGGAGAGCTTTCGAAGGGATAGCTATCTGGATTTGGGAGGTGAGGGGTTGGAGGGGCAGCTGGGGCTGGAGCTGATGGGGCGGGCTTTTTGAGTGGAGAGCGGTGCTGGTGGTACCACATGGAGATCCGTACTTATCATGGGTGAGCAGAGACCAGGTTGAAAACAGCATGTGTGTTGAGTGTGTGGATAACGTTGGTTATTGGTGCTTGGTCTTGTCTTGAGTTCTTAGAATCATGCCCGTATCAATTGCTCATTGTGGAGGTATGGCCTTTGCCTAGGGCAGTTTAGGTTGTTGAGAGGGTTTGGTAAGTTCACGATGGCTCAAGTTCAGGTTCAGGTCTGAATTGGATACGAGCGGACTTCAATTGGAGATCACTGTTGCAGAAAATGAGGAGAGTTCTACTCAATTGAGCCCATAAGAGGGTTTCCTATCGAGATTGAGCTATTCCCGGCTCGAGCCAACAGTGGTATGCTTGAAAACTGCTCCCCTCTTCCGATGGAGTTGAACGAAGAGAGGCACTTGCAAAGCGAGGCAAAACAGGCTGTATGGCATCAGCCAAAGTTGCCGGTAGACTTACCAGTACCATACTCGGTAGCTAACATGGCAGCGGGCTAGCCAAGGCAAGTACATTGTAAACCACAGGAAACAAGCCTCTTCCCCTCCATCGGAGCAGCCGTGTATTGGGAGGTAGATACTTTAGTCGAGCACCCCGGCGCGGATAGCATGGCCAAGCTTTTCTGCTAGGTGATAGGGAGAATAGGCATCTTGGGCTATACAAGAGGATGGTGTCGACAATTGCCAAGTCATCGGTTCAGCCGTTATTTTCGCCGGATGCTAAGAGCTGTATCTAACCGGGCGACGCTGGTACAGCAGACTTGCGTGTGTGCTTGACGCCAGCCGACAATTCCAGCGATTGATGGGCCAGATCAGCCGCGGACATGTCCAGTGTGAAGCTATCTTGCCTTAGCGTCGAATCTCGCTGTAAATTTCTGCCCTTTTTCCTGCGATATGTGAGTGTGGTGGTGGGTGAGGTAGGTGGTTCACCCCAGGGCAGGTAGGTATCGGTCCTCCCCGCACACAGCATTTGGGAGGGTGGGGTGTCATGGGGTGTCGAGTCTGGCGCCTTAGCTTGCCGTAGGTTCACTAATGCTTCAGTGATTACGCCGCAGAATCAGCGAGGTTAGTGGCCTTCATCATGCGGTGTGACACACCAAACGACGCTGTCCTTGCACACCTCTCAGAGCCCGCCGTCGCAAGCTTGAAGGGGACGGCCTATTCACCGCGAAAGTGGGTTCCTAGTGCCGGCTCCGGCGCCGGCCACTTTACCCTGGACGACAAACGCACACCTCCACCCCCCACTCTTTCCATCCTTTTTTTTTCTTCTTCCGCCCTCCATCCCGCCTGCTTCTGTCGGGGAAAGGAAGTGCTTCACTGACACTCGGCGCCACCGACGCCATCATCAACCCTTGACCCAACCCACACAAGCCCATCACCAGCTCGCAATATCCAATCCTCTTTGTCATCGCCACGACGATACGATATCGTACCGGGTATTTCTCATGCATGAATCCATCCCGCATTTCTGAACAACCCCCCGGACCACCCACATCTGCCCCCCAACACACGTGCAGGTTGAGCACTTACACCCCCTCCCGCCACGACAAAGCACACCATCCTGCAAGCAGGAAACCGTCCACAGTGTTCCTGGATAGTCAGTTCGACTGTGCCTTGAGCCTTGTCTAGATCTTGAGTCCGAGACGGAGCTAGTGCCGATAATTCTTCTTTATCCTTTTCCCGTTTGGGACAGCCCATCTTCCAACTATCTGAGATTTCTTGGCCTTCCAACCACCTCGAGGCTCAACTTCTCATCTGTTGGACCCCCAACCCAGGGCTTTCACCATCGCCTCGGAGCCGAGACCGTGTAGCCATCGCGGCGGACCGAACCCCGGGCAGGAACCATCATGGCACCTCAGCCGCGGATGCAAATCCCCGGGTATTACTATGGTACTACTCACACGCCCCCCAAAGTCTTACACCACTCTGTCTTAGTCTTTTCAACCTCCTTTGACAACTCAGTCTGTTGTTCACTTGACCGTACCCTTCCACGGACCAGCCGGCTAACTCGGAAGAAACCACATTCTAGATGAGGAAAAGGGCAAATATTTCAAAATCGAAAAAGGCGGCTCAGCACCACAGACCGCCGCCTGGTCCGCCGACAATGTCAAGCGCCGGAAGCTCCAGCACCGCGAGGCCGAGGCCGTCGCCGCCCGCCGGGAGCGGCTGAAGCGACATATTATCCGCTCCGCCGCGCTGCGGGCCCCGCTCATCGGCGGTATCTTGGACGTCGAGCTCGGCGTGCGTCGTGAGGAGAGGGCGAGGCTGCGTGTCGACGGCGCGTTTGGCGTCGAGGACGTCCCTACTGCGGCGTGGGCCCGGGGGCTGGTCGATAAGGGCGAGGTGCCATTCGTGCCTAGCTTTGCGAGGCAGAGTTTTCCGAATATCCCGTGTTTCTACGTTGGCGGCGATGATGAGAAGACGGGGCTCGGGGTTGCATATGCGAGTGAGTTTGGGATTCTCTGACCTAGATCGTGACTGGGAGGTTGTGTTCTGACTGTGATAGCCTTGGACGAAGAGACTTTGATAGGGTCGTATATCCCCACGGACGAAAATGACAGGTGAGCAGGGAACAAAATGCCACGGCCCGGAGCAAAGACTGACGACAGTAGGATATCCTTCAGCACTGATGCCTCGAGCCGTCCTGAACGCCGCCTGTCACACCGTCACGAGATGATAGGCTGTCCCCAGATCTCATCGATCAACTATCACCCACACTCGCATCGCATAATTGTCACATCCCGCGAGCCAAGTAACACATGCGACATCTACCTCTTTTCCCCTCCCAAATCCGCTCCCAACGATGACCGACCTCTGTGGTTACTTGACAGAGGTAACCCCCCCCCCCTGTGCCCCTGAGTCCATTGACCCCCTTTCTTGCTAACGCAGACCACGTGTAGCAAACAACCTCCGCCACATCTCCTTCAACACAGGCCGCCGCGAAGGCGTCGTAAACCAAACAACACCCGCGCCGCCCTCCTCCTCCTCCCTAACCTGCATCATCGGCACCTCCTACGGCCTCTTAAAACTCACCTCGGACGAACGCATCCACTGGCTCGGCCCGCCGCGCCCCCGACCCGGCCCGGCAGAGGGCGACTTCTTCGACCAGACGTTCCTCCCCTCCAACCCAAACGTCCTCCTCGCCGGCGGCCGCAACCGCGACGTCAGGCTGATTGACATGCGCGTAAAGTGGTCCGAGTGGGATAACATCCCCGTCGGGCCCTCGGCGCACCTGCGGGCCGTGAACCCGCACCAGTTCCTCGCCGCGGGGCCGAGATCCAAGATGGCGCTGTTTGACCTTCGGTACCGCAAAAGAGCCCCCAATGGGACGAAGCCGGTTGTGGAGTTTCCCGGGTTCCGGAACGAGGCGCATATGCATTTCGGGTGGGACGTTGATGTCGACTCGGGTGTCGTTGCCGCGGCGCATGATGATGGGCGGTTGGGGCTGTATTCGATGCTGTCTGGGCGGAGGTTGCGGTGTCCTGCTATGGATGCCGTCAAGGCGAGGACGCCTGTCAAGAGTTGCCAGTTTCAGAGGATGCCTGGGCGAAGGCACGCGAGTTTATTTGCGGGCGTGGGGCCGAATTTGAAGATGTTTTCGGTTGGGGCTTTGGGGGTTGATGATGAGTGTTGAGACGAATGGGGGCAGAGTTGGATATTAAAACGAGCTCCAAGGTCACCGTCTCACATGGATACGGTGATCACTTTGGTTCACTAGAGTAGCCTTCGGTACAGCTGTTAAACTCATCATGTTAATGGCCTCTTGAGACGTTGTTACCGATGATGCAGGTGAAGTCAGGGGCCACAACCTGGCGACAGAGCAAAACTTTTTAGTTTTGGTTCTCGTCATGAGGCTCAATTCCTTGACATGTAACATACGATGTACTTGGGTTGGGAAGCTTGCTCACCGGCTCTAAAGCCACTCTTTCTGCGTCACGATCCAATGGTCAGGCGATGTCAATACTAGCTGAGGACCGCTGCTGGATACTTTTCTTAAACCTCTATATACACTCACCCCCTTTGACCTACGGTTTGTATTGGCCAATTTCTGGCCCATTTGGTTATATCTTTTCCTTTGGAGGCTTACGGAGTTTTGCCACTTGAGGTACAAAATTTCCTTGACAGCATTGATGGCCGGACTCGTGATCCAGACATGCTGCTTTCAAGACGTTATAAGATTCTAGTTGAGCTTTTCATACAGAATCCCATCTATATCTCCAAACTTGGCTAGAGTAAGTATGTCTCCTTCCTGGACGGGGTCCCAGCCTTTGTCGTTGACGCAAAGGCCTGTAGCAGTAGCCATGAAAAGCTTGCTAGAAATGCTGCCCGTCTTCCTCCAAGTCCATACAACGAGGCACTGGGTGTCATGTTCCACGAAGAATATGCCTGGAAAGAAAGTGCAAGTTGCCTTCAGTATATGGGCTTACGATATCAGGCTCCAATTTCTTTATGGGTTTCGCATTGTGGGTGTAAACACGTTCGTTCCCGAGGCTTTCTGGGCGTGGCTCCTGTCATGCGTGGCTGCGGTTCATGATCGGCCAGAAGGCTTCTGATGTGAATCCGAGTTGACTTCAGGGGGTGGTGTTTAGTTTGTGGCTGTTGCTTGATAACGATCTCATTTCTTCTCTTCATTTGCTACAACAGATGTCGTAATCCATCGTCCAGTCTTGCTGAAGGGCACAGGGGGGTTCTTTTTCGCTCATGACTACCACCTTTTCCCCAGATATCTTGATTTGTGATGTTTCCCTGTACCGCTGCATCGTTGGGCCTCTGTCTTGTTGTTTCACCCAGAGGCAGAAATACTGATACCATTTACGAAACAACTTGTGGCACAACACTCAAAGTAAGTGCATGGATTCAGGGGTAGCTACTGAATCTTGCACATTAGTAGGTTGAAGGCAGAAGTTTTATCCGACCTGTAAAAACAGCATGAGATTCAGTAAATGCAACAAAACACCTCCAGCTAACACCCCGTACCGTCAACAAGCAACACATGTTCAGCAAATCTCCCAATAATAACACACATCTTCACACCCAGTAAAGCTTATTTCCTTCCTCAGATATCTACGACTTGGCACATGTTTAGTGAATCATACGAGTTCGCCTTGAGAAGCGGATCCTGACGCTCTCAAAGTCCAGTTTTGGTGCTGAATCACTTACATCCATACCAAAGAATCCCTCTTTATTCACGATCCGTGTAGAAGACGTGGACCCTATAGGGCAAGCCTTTTCTTCCCCCTTCCCCAAAGGAATTACCTTCTTGATTCTTTCCCTGGCTAAGTTTAGGATTGTCAAGGCTTTTTCTGGGCCAAAATCCTCCTTTCGAATCTCTTGGCTCTACACACAACAAGAAAACAAGAAAAGTCCTAACAAAGAGCAGACGTCACTTGCTTCTAGGTAAGTCTCCCAATATCTCGAATCCCCCTGTCTTCTTCTCCCTTCTGGAAAACAAGAGGAGAAGAAGAAAAAGAAGAGCAGAAGACTCTGACCATCCTGTGGAAACTACAGAGAAGCAAAAGCAACAATGGCAGAAGAAGCCACTATCGTCCTAGAGACGCACATCTACTCGATCCCAACCGCCGTCCACTCGCCCCCCTGGACCCGCAGCTTCCACCTCCGTCTGGCCCCTTCAACCGCCACGAAGGCTCAGATCCTCTCCCTCGTCCGCGACTCCATGACGCGCCTCGGCCGCGCCGACCCCGTTGTCGAGGGCCAGATCACGCTGTACTGGACCTCTCGGAACGGCCACGTCGTGTCCATCCCCGGCGGCGGCGGTATGAACGGAGCCTCCACGGCCATGGCCACAGTCACGATGCCCGTGTGGCAGCAGCAGCCTCCCCAGCTCATGACCTTCAACGTCGGATACCCCGCGCTCGTCCAGCCGCAGCCGCAGCCTCAGATGACGATGGACCCGCCCATGCCCCTGGCCATGACATACTCTGGCGGCGTCAACTACCTCCACTCGTACGGCAACCCCGCTGCGCAGCAGCAGCAGCAGCAGCAGCAGCCCATGATGTTTCCGCCTCCGTACGCGGCCATCGTCCCCGTTGGACAGCAGACTTGGATCATGGGAAGTCCTCCCCAGCTCGGCTTCGTCAACGTCAACGTGCCCACCTTCGACACCGGAGGTGGAGGAGGAGGAATTGGTGCCGGTAGACCCGTGGTTTCGGACGTCGTGAGAGAGGCGCGGTTGGATGGAATCGCTGAGGCGGCGCTGGGTGGAATGCTGGAGTGGGTTTGTGGATCTACGGGCCTCAAGTTGATTGTTGTGGTTGATGCTGATGGAAGGGATGTTGTGCCTGTTGTTGTTGCTGCTCCTGCTGCTGTTGTCGCTGATCAGCCTCTCGTGGCAGCTCCTTCTACTCCTTCGTCTCCTGCGGCTGCTACTCCTGCTACTCCGGCGACTTCTTGAAGATGGAATATGGAAGATAAGAGTCTTTCACGCAATGAGATGTGGTGAGGGGAAACGGGAATAATTGGCATGGAATAAAAGAGACATGTTTCTCAGTATGAAGCAGAAGCTCACGTACACCGACCCGCGAGGGATGTGTGATATCCTGGGAGACTGCGTGCCTTCTTCGATCTAGATTCTGGGGTGAATTGGCTGTTGATTTTTCTCGATGCTAAGGAGAGTATAACATGGTCAATCTTGCTGATACACTTGTACCGCTCGCAAGTGTTACAGGAACTCTGAGTCCACAGTGCAGTCTTGATGGAAACAAGCAAAATGGTTCGTCGCGTCAGCGCATACTCGGCACCAACATGCAATTGTTTCAACCCTATGGGTAAAGATGTAGCCTGAAAGAGCGACTGAAGAACGAATAGCCATAGTGATCATGGCGATGGACGTCCATTAGACATATTCCCCTCCCATCCACGGCTGTGCCATCAGGACCAACTTGTGTGACGAGGAACGAAAGAAAAGACCACATTTCGGAGGAGAAGAACAGCAGAAGAGATACAAGTACAATGTGATGCCATGGGGAAATGCATGTAGATATCATGGATGGCGGAGATGGGGTGAGAGACGAGGCTGAGCCAGCAAATCACCTTAGTCATCAGCCTTCTTTTCTGTGAGGAGATTGTTGACATAGCAACGCGCTGAATAAACACCCAAAGATTACGATCACAACCACTTTATCCCACCTCCGCCCGCTTCGTAGCCCATCCTGCCGAACGTCACATGCAATTGCGATACACAGTACTCGATCAATCATAGCTGCAACTTTCCAACAACCGACCATCGCGATCGCGATCGCAACTCCGAAAAAAACATCACCCATCATGTCGTCCGCATTTCGAGAATCGTCGCTGTCCGCCAGCATCAACCGCCAGTCGCTAATGGCGACCCCGTCCGTCGCCGAGACGCTGCCAAACGCCAACTTTGGCTTTGAAGAGCTTCGCGATCGCATGACCAAGTTCACGTCAAAGTTTGATGCCTTTATCGAACAGGGTCGCAAGCGCGTTTTGGAGGAGCGAAACGAATTCCGCATGAATGTGGCAGAACTACAAGGTACGTCGGGGAAATCGGGCTCGAAGACATGACAGGACGAATCAAGAGATGCTAACGTATGCCCAAACAAAGAGGACCAGCGCATGAAGAAGAAGGACATTGAGATCCTCCAACTCAAGACGAGCACCCACCAACAAACCGTGGCCAAAGAAAAGGCCGAGACGCGCGAGATGCAAGCCTCGATCGCGCAGCTGTCGGAAGAGCGCGACAAGCACCTGGCGACGCGGGACGCGCTCAAGAAGCAAATCGAAGAGACGCAAAAGGAGATTGACGCCCGGCTGGCGGCGCAGCGGGCGCACGCGAAGCAGCTCGAGGCGCAGTCGCGCTTCAACGTTCCCGAGCTCGAGTTTTGGCAGCAGAATCTGGGCCTGCGGATCGAGGGCGCGGGCAAAGACGACCGGCTCAAGTTTATCTACACGTACGTCGACGACCAGGACTGGGAGAGGGAGGCGTGGTTCGAGCTTAACACGGCGAGCCGGGACTACGATGTACGGCACTGCCGGCCCAAGTTGGAGCGGGAGCGGGTGGAGAGGGTGCTGGATCAGCTTAATGAGACGAGGGAGCTGGCGGTGTTGCTGAAGGGGATGAGGGAGTTGTTCGTGGAGGCGATGAAGGCTTGAAAAATAGGAGGGAGGCTCTTTCGGGTTCTGTTTACTGACGAGGTCTATGATCACGATGACAGTTTCTTTCGTTTTTTCTTTCTTTCAATGGATACCCACTTTGGCGCATTTACCTTAATTATCACACCTGTCTACACGCACGCTATTACATACAGTATGAGCCGTCTCGAAGCAGCAGTACATGTGATTTGTGTTGCGAGTCTAGAATGCACCCGTCGTTCTCGGTCTTGAGGGGTCCCTTTTGTCGGTGACCATCCAACATGCGAAATCAGGAGAAGGCGCTCGAAGATAGCCAGTCTGGTGGTGGCGCATGCATGGCAGAAGAGCTTCAGCCTCTGGGAGTCCGGAGTCCAGACCGTCGAAGCAGTGCAAACTTGAGGGCCGTCACAAGTTGCATATATCGGACGGGTCTATGCATAAGAGTCCCTCATGTGCTGGACTTTGATGCACAATTTGGCGGGTATATCTCCCAGTTCTAGCTTCTACGGATACTATGGTAGGTATGCAGGCCGGACAACTTGAGCATCAGTATGCATAGATGACTTGTGCAATTCTGACCAAAGTTAAGTTTGTGCACTACGAAATACAGAGCACGGCAACGGGGAATTTCACCGCTTCAAGACAATAGTCGCAAGAGGTCAGCCTCTCCGCCAGCGGCTACGAACTCTATTCCAACTAAACCATCATTTTGACTTTCTTCTCCTCCTTCACTTGGTCTCATGTTTCCCTCAGCTACCCGTGTACGGAGCACGGTATCGCAAGCACAACTGCTGCAACTTGTATTGTAGTCCCTCGCTGTTCGGGTTTCCAGACAAACAAAATCAAAACTCTAGGAATCCTTCAACAAAGCTGCATATAATACCGCCGGAAACTGTGAACACACGAATCCACACCCTTGTCTGCAGCAGAAATGCCCGAGGCTTAGCTCCATTCTTCACAGTCTACCGAGCCACTCATGACTCGGGATCTTGGCCCTCCGAAGCCGTTCAGCGAGATCTGAATGATTCATTATCTCCCTCCCATTCGCCTGTTCCCGTCCCCTTTCCAAGGCACAACCTATCCGTACGGTTACCCGATCCCCGACCGAAAAAAGAATCATACCACCCCCCCCCCCCCCCCCCCCCCCTCTAGTACCACCAAAAAATTCTCCTGCTGCCCAGAGCTCCGCTGTCGTTGCATTGCTGGTCCCCCAGGAAGCCTGTCACCTGTCATTCTGCCGTTCACCCCTTATACTAACAACCCAAGGACGAGACTGGACTGGACCGGCAATCGGCAAATGCTCCAAGAGTCCAACGGGCTTTCCAAAGGAGAAAAAAAAGGGGCCCGGCCGCAGAGGAAACCAGCGAGGGGCCCGACCATCACCTTCCCAATCCCGTACTCCGTCCGTATCCCGCTCCTCTGTGCTGATCCACACACTTGGCCGGCACGGATAGGCCTATGCCTCTCGGCCGCTGCTGCCGCTCAATCACGGGCAGCACCGGCTCTCTGACCGAGCCGAGTCTGACCTGAGTTGGGAATACCGGTGTTACCGGAGGTGACGCGGCACCGATACCAACTTCCCCCTCCACTCTCCTCCGCTCCCCTCCTGGCCGGACCGTACCGCCTCCGCTTCCACCTCCGCCCCCCACGCCGGCCTTCCGACTTCCCATGGCCTCCGATGCCGTCAACCACCCAAGTCCCGCCGGCTCCGTGGCTTCATCGGTGACCCCCGGCATGAATTACAACAGTAATAAGCGTAGTGCTCCGGACCACCCAAGCCCGGCTGGCCCCGGGAATGCCGAAGCTCTTACTCCGGCCGGCACCGGCACGTCACCCGCTTCTCAACCACCCGGTGATTCCAATAAGAAACGCCGCGTCGGTCCTGGCTCTAGGGGTGTCGCCAACCTTACGCCGGAGCAACTGGCCAAGAAGCGCGCCAACGGTGAGCACAACTGCCCTTGCTCACTCACCTCATTATGTCTCACTGCACCATGACTTCCTTAACCCGTGATTTTCACCTTACATCCCATTTGAGCATCCTTTCAAATCAAGAACTCGCTGCCGTTGTCCACCCCTGTTCACTCACTGCATACCATCCTCGTACACATCCATCTTTCTCCACAACTACCTCGATGACGACACACCCGCTAACCGAAGTTCCCATCGCCCCCGATCAGACAGGGAAGCGCAGCGAGCCATCCGTGAGCGCACAAAGAACCAGATCGAGACCCTGGAGCGCCGTATCCAGGAGCTGACCTCCCAGCAGCCCTACCAGGAGCTGCAGGCTGTCCAGAGGGCCAAGGAAGCCGTCGAGGCCGAGAACGCGGACCTGAAACGCCGTCTGGCCGCCTTCATCGCCTCCATCCAGCCTCTCATCTCTGCTTCTGCACCGAGCCAGCGTAAGTCCTCCTCGTATTCACATCTCTTGAACCCGTTATGCTCGGGGACGTATCTTGAGTAACACCAAAACAGCACCGCCGCCGCCGGCAGACCCGCACCCTGCCGTCTTCCCATCCCCCAGCGGCAGCTACTCTCACGTCCACCAGCACAACGGACCCATCTCGGCGCACATTGCCTCAACGCCCAACAGCGCGGCATCACCCGCCTCCATCGACCCGACCGCCGGCTGGCAGACGACGCCGAACGGTGGTGGTGCAGGTGGCGTCTCGGACCTGTCTCCCCCGAACCACATGTATGCCGCGAGCAAGATGCTCGACCAGCAGCGGCAAGGACTCCGCCACGGCCTCGATCTCGGCCCGGAGAGGCTGGGCCTGGACTTCCTCCTCGACCAGAACGCCCGCGTCGGCAAGATCCAGAGCGGCGTCAACGGCGCCCAGGACACGCCGCACTATAACCACGTCCCCATGAAGCACGACTGGACCGGCGTCGGTCCCGTCACCCACAGTCGGAGCCCCTCGCTCAGCGGACCGACCGTCCATACGCCACGGTCACAAGTAGACTACCCTCAACAGCAGCAAGGACAACAACAACAACAACAACAGCAGCAGCAGCAACCGTCATCCGCTCCCCCGGAACCACGAGCCCTGGGCCACCACGCAGCCGAAGTGAAAAACTGCGGCCCAACCTGCCCCCTCGACAGCCTCCTCCTCGACTTCCTCCACGAGCGCCGCCAACGCGCAGTCGACGGCCTCTCGACCCACGAAATCATCGGCCCGCGCTACCCCTCCGTCCTCTCCCTCCTCAACCCAGCCAACAGCAAATACTCCCACCCGCTCTCCAAAGTCTTCACCGACATCCTCGCCACCTTCCCCGACCTCTCGGCCCTCCCGCAGCGCGTCGCCGTCCTCTACATCATGTTCCTCATCATGCGCTGGCAAATCTCCCCCACCCAGGAGAACTACGACCGCCTGCCGGACTGGGCGCGCCCGCGACCCTCGCAGCTGTTTACGGAGCACCCGGCGTGGATCGACCACGTGCCCTTCCCTGCCATGCGCGATAAGCTGTGCCGCGACTATAACCCGCGCGAGTACCTCTTTGATAACTTTTTTGTGCCGTTTACGACGACGTTGAGTCTGAATTGGCCGTACGAGGAGACGGATACGCTGTTGCAGGTGCCGGATTCGGATGAGGTGCTGATTAACCCCGTCTTTGAGCGGCATCTGCGGAGGCTGGAGAATTGGACGCTCGGGCAGGCGTTTAACCAGACGTTTCCTAAGCTTAGGGAGACGTATAATTTGAAGGAGTGAGCGGGAGGTCTCAACGCTTTGTGGCGACTATGATCGCGTTTGTTGTCTTGTTGCAAGATTTACGAGATGATGGGAGACTACTCCTCGCTCTAGGATCATCTTCTCGTTCGCTTCTGGCGATTCGTTCCGTATATAGGGCCTTTCAAGGCTTTCAAGGGAAAAGGGGGGTTAGGGGTGGTTTCTGTTCCATGGCGTTCAGTGAGTAAATATCACTAATATGGCTTACTTTTTTTTTTTTTTTTTGACGCCAAGGGTGTCATTATGAGTAAAGCCGTATTGCTTGGCGTATTGTATCTCACCAAGAATTAGGGTTAGGGAGGGGGCTTTGCGAGGTCCAGACGGCGGCGCATTGGATCGGAAAATCTACACGGCATTTTGTCTTCTACATGTATACGATTGCCGAATCCAGGGGAATATGGACATCAATCATAGTAGTCTTGTTTCTTTCTTCGTATTTATGCTACTTGTGCAATATTTATATCCTGACTCTCTCACCGTCGCTGGTCAACGCAGTAGTAGTAAGGGGGTTGCTTTACTACGAGGAGGATTCCCATTCTACCTCCTACAGATATCACATTTCGAGTGCCCCTGAGCAGGTACTTTTTGAGGCTTCAAGCAAGAATTTGAAGTACTTCTGCTTAATGCAGATCACTGAAGCACATTCCAAATATGTACACGAAGTATCAAGTATCTATGCCAGAAAAGCCAGTGTCTTGCTCCCCTCCTCTGCCCAGTCGTATCGAGGACGTGTATTCACTGCGTCATCTGAGCACACAGTCTTCTCACTTTCTTCCCCTTGAAGAACAGTATGACTCCCAGCCGCATATATACCAAACGTTTTGACAGGCCCAATGTTGGCAATATACGTCGTCGTATGCTTGCTAAGCCCAAAGCCTACTAACCCACGCGTCACCGGCAGCGCAACGAGAATCGCGCCCGCGAAGCTCGGGTGGCTGTCGATGAGATACGCCGTCCCGACCGTGCTGACGCCCATCACCATCAACACGATGAGGTATCCGTCGACGACGGAAACGATGGCCATCCAGTGAAGTGATACCGCTCCGGGTTCTTCAGCACGTACCCGTACAGGACCGTCAGGATCAAAGCCGTCACCATGGGGAGGATCCACGCGATGAGTCGCTTCTCCGGCTCGTGGACGCCGTGGTTGCGACGCGCGGAGGAGCGGATGACGTAGTCGCTCAGCCAGCCGATGAGCGGCACGCAGAGCAGCGCGATGAAGACTTGGCCCAGCTGGATCAGGGATACCGACGTGTTGGCCTAGTTGTAGGGGGGTTTCACGAGGACTTCTGCGTACGTCATTTGGATCGAGACGTCGATGCCTTGGAAGAGGCCGTTGTTCACGGCGACCCAGAGGACGTGCGGGAAGAGAAAGACTTGGCCGATTTGTTTTAGGCAGAGCCAGCAGCGGGACCAGGTGGGTTTGTATACGAAGATTTGCAGGTTTGAAGTAAAAGTGCGGTCTTTGTAGTGGTCTAGGTCGGCGGCGGGCCTCTCATCTACTGTTGCGTACTTTGGTCCGGGAGAGCGGCTTCTGGTGATGGTGTCGGGGCCGGTGGTCTGTACTGCTGCTGGTAAGAGGTTGCTCCTGTCGGTAGGGTGGCTTCCCATGAATGCCTCGATGAGGCGGTCGTAGGCGGTTTCGGGGACGAAGAAGAAGGTGAGGATCATGGCTAGGCCCGAGAGGCCTGCGAAGAGCCAGTACCACGATCTCCAGCCTAGCATCGGCCATGTATGAGGATGCGATTACAAGACTGGAGTTGAAAAGGACTTCGGCGGAGGCGTATATCTGGAAGACGCGTGCCCGCTGATGAAGGAAGTATATATATATCCTGAAGTTTTCCCGGAGTCAGAAAATATCACACGAGACTCAATATCCAAAGAGGTCGTACCTGCATGATAAGCAGAGCCAAAGCCTGACACTGAGCTGCAGCAAACGCTGCGACCATGCGCCCACCTAGATGCCAGTAGTAATTGCGGTTCGTTGCGCAGAGGACAGCGGCTAGGAAGAGCAGCACGTTGGATGCCAGGATGATGGGGTGGCGGCCAACAGCTACGGCGATTGGCATGGACACGAGGTTTCCGAGACCATGGAAGGAAGAGATTTGGAAACGTGAAGAGATTTGAGATCTGATCCGGCGTGATTCCATCACGTTGGTAGTCGGGCATGATGAATACGATGAGTGCAGATAATGCGGAGATGAGGCATAGACCGGATATTGCGTCTGCGCGTTTCTCATGTAAGCCAAGTGATTTCGCTCACATTCACGATACGTGGTGGAAATTCATGATGACTTACACAGGACAATGATGCCTACGACGAGTTGTTTGTGCCATTTTGGTAGGTTTAGAGGATCTACATTTTTGTGTAAGTCTACTAGTAATGAAGCAAGATGAGAAACAGATCATCGCCATACCTCTGGGGGTCCGCGCTCGGCGTGGGAATGAGAATCACTTGGCCTCCTACAGTGAGAGTTGCTGTCCCGTCAAAGAATCTAGGCCGCATCTCGTCCAACTTTGGCGTACTCGTGACGTTGTGCCCCTCGTTGCTCTTTTCACAATTCTTTTCCACGTCCACATCTCCAACAGGCGGGTCAGCCGAGTCTGACATCTTCTCTAGGTCGTCCATCTTTGGCAAGAGTCCGAGAGAAGAGCCCGGGCCAGCACTATAATTGAAGTGGATCACTTGATTTCCGCTTTAGGAAGGAGGCCGAGATCCACCCGGAAACTATTCTGAGGTTGTCGCAACGTCGTTCTAAGAGAGTGTCGAGCTGTTTTGGTGGTGAGTACGCATGAGCCATTCTGTTTCTCCATGTGGTGGAAGATCGTGTCATCTTTATTGTCTCATTCTGTGAACCTCAAGTACAACTGCCGCCGCACCTTTCCTATCCCCCGCATCAGCGTAAGCTCTCGTCGTCTGATGGAAACCCGCCGTTTCTGAGGGGTTCAGTTTGACGTTCCGTTCATGAGTGAGAGATCCAAGTCTAGTGAAAGTCTGTACGGCGTAGTCAGCCAAAGAATGAATGCGTGCTATACAACCTTTACGGCTGAGGCAGCGGAACATCGCTTACTTCTGCGGTGACACGATGGCCAGGACATGGTCTCCAGGTTTGTATTACTATCCGACACGTGAAGTGCAAAACGCAATGTTGGCTGGCTTATGCAATATAACACTGCTAGAATGAGACCACTTTACAAGCTAGTATTTAAAGTTCGTACGCAACACTGAAGGGGCCAATCTGATACGCCTCTCAACGCCAGGGTCCTTCCTCCATGAAGCCGAGCAGTCCGGACTTCTTTCAGACTCTCGGCGAGATGGGATTTTCCTTACTTGCCATCCCCCTTTCCGATGTTCTGACATCCGGCATAGACAAGACAAAGGAAGAGAAACACGATACGTCGTTGCCGCTGAGTCCTGCAGCATACAAGATTTGGCAGAACCCAGTTTGCATACTTTCCAGACCAAACCATCGCCGATTGTCAAAAGGGAAAGATCAGCAAGCTCTCGCGACATTGACGGTGCAGTCCTACGTCACGTCCGAACGCCCTCCGCCCCAAAGAAAGATGCCGTCAAACCAGCTCGGCGCCGGACAAGGCCCGCAACCTGCCGAAAAACAAACCGTCGAGAGTTCAGAATGGCGGTCTTTGGACGACAAAACCGTAGAGGAAGTTACCTGCTTCTTGACGGGAGAAGAGGGCGACGAGGATGAGGATGCCGACGCTGAAGCAACTGCTGATCAACGCCTCGCGCCAGAAACGTCCCAACTGGAGAAGCGTGAACCCTTCGACCCGGTCTTGTGGTCGTCCAGGAAGAAGTGGACGCACGTCTTGGTGGTAGCGTTCATCACCTGCGTCACGTAAGTGGCTAACCTACCTACCTCCCACATGGTTGACATGCAGCGGCGCAATTCTGGGAAGAAAGCTTCTGCGCCGCTACCGCGAGAAAAGTAAGACCAAAAAACGCTAACGACTACGGCCGCTTTTTTTCCCCTGGCAATAGACCCCTAGCTTCTGCAGTCTATACCCCCGCGTTGGACCAGGTGATTGGCGACTTCAAGATCGAAGACAACCCCACGCTAGCGGACCTGACAGTCTCGGCCTACGTTCTCGGCTTCTCCGCCGGACAGCTGCTTCTCGCGCCGCTGAGCGAGACGTTTGGCAAGAACCCCGTCTATCAGGTCTGCAATGTGGTCCTGGTCGTGTGTAATTTGGCCTGCATGGTCGCGCCGTCGGCCGAGTGGCTCATTATCTTCCGGTTTTTGGCTGGGTGCGCCGGCGCGAGCCCGATTACGCAGGGTACCGGGACGGCGACGGATGTCATGACCAAGGAGAAGCGTGCGCGCGCCATGTCGGTTATGGCGTTTGGGAGTGTTTGTAGTCCTGCGGTTGGGTCGGCCCTTGGGGGCGCGATTGCTCAGGCTTGGGGATGGAGAGGTTGCTTTGGCTTCCTTGCTGTGATGGTAAGCTATCTTTTTCCTTTGCTTTTGCCGTCTTTGTGAACATCATTTCATGAAGCAAGATGATGGCCTGAAGAGACCTTGACAAGAACTGAGGGTTGGGGTTTTCAACCGTGAAGACCTGTTGAACTCCCGAGTGGCATGCTGACAAGTGAGACAGGGCTTGATCAGCACTCTTCTGACCTATCAGTTCATGTGCGAGACATATCTCCCGGCCCTTCGAAGAAAGCACGCTGTGTTAGTTGGTATTGATGACCTCGACATGGAACTGAGCGATGAGAAACCCGTTGCCCCAAAGCAATCTCTCAGAAGGCTGCTCAGCAAGGCCGCGATCCGTCCATTCTCTCTCATCTTTCAGCCGAGTATCCTGCCGGCCATCTTGGTAACATCGTTCTTCTACGGCCTCCAAGTGTGGCTGTACATCGATGTTCCGATGACATACAAGGCAGTGTACTACTTCAATACCGCAGAAGCAGGCCTAGCATTCGCGGGCATGGGCGTTGGCATGTTCACCGGCCTTCTCATCTTTGGGTTCCTCACCGACATTGTCGTGAAGAGGCTGGCGCGTAACGGAGAAAGGCTGCCCGAGCACCGGCTCCCACTTCTCAACCTAGCAGCCATCCTTGTTGTGGTCGGTCTGATCATCTACAACGTGGCTGCGAGGCCCGGGGTATCCTAGCTGGTGCCCCTGCTTGGAAACTACCTTATTGGCAGTGGATTGTTTGCCATCACTGTGAGTTCCCATCTTTCAGTCCCAGTACTCTCTGTAAGTAGTCAGATATTGGACCGGAGACCGAGCATCGGGGGCACGGAAACCGAGGCCACATGCGAGGAGATCCAAACGACGACTGACTTGAGACTCGTTGTAGATGACTTCGGCTGTGTACATCATCGACCTATCACCGCAGCACGCTGTTGCGTCGAGCGCGTCGCTTGCACTTTTACGATACCCCTCTGGAACGTTGTTTCCCCTTTTAGAGCATGCTTTTGAATCTCTCACCAGCAACAGTAGCGCCAAGTGGCTCATCACGGCGGCATCTGTCTCCACCATCCCACTTGTGGTTTGGCTCCAGTACAACTGCGAGCGGTTCCGTGCGAGACTCCGGGACTCGTTGTGAGAATCGGTGTATCATTGATCTACTAGTTGAGTCTGTGCCATTTAACAAATGATACCCTAGCACGAGTTCTTTGTGTTTGAAAGTCTGGATAGACAGATGCTTTGATTGATAGAAGATTCTTGTAAAAGATAGATGTGTGTTTAGACTTGGTTAGACTTCGAGATTCGAAACGTAGTTTATGGACATTGGAAATACAGGAAGGTAGATAAGAAGGCATATGGCTAGAACTAAACAAATCGCATTCCACTTTCACGGATCAAAGATCAACGATGGAGGGATGTTGAGAGTCAGGTAAGGTAGTTGGAAGGTTACTTGGTAAGTTGGTAGAGGTTGCATAGGAGCATGGTTATGGCCCTATCTCCATCATGTGCATAGAAGCATATGCGAGTCACGTCACTGTCTTACCTAAGCCATGGCGCAAACCTGGAGCCATCTGTCTGCTCCATCCGAGCGGCGAGGAACCAATGGCATCGACACTATTTGTTTAGGAGATGGCAGACCGTGGAACTGGATTACGCTAATCCCAAATGAAACCAATTATATCGTCACGCGGCTCGCACATCAAGCTGGGAAATAGGTCGACCAACGCTTTCCCCACGTGTTGCAGCCACCAGGAAATCACGGGATGCTATCCAAGTAGCTTAAACACCATTTCGACCCTTTGAAACAGCTTCGCGATACCGATACACTTTGCCCGATAAGAAAGTCGCACGCGACCCTCTGCCACCATACCGCCCCCAGCAGATCTCCGCGCTCCCTCCTCTACCCACCAAGCAGGCACTGCAAGCCCACAAGTCCTAATTAACCTCGATAAACCTTCTACAGGCCTTCGGGAACGGGGAGGGAGCTCCACCAACAGCAGCAACTCCACCGTTGCTCAGGCCGAGAGCTACGAGCTTACCGACTACAAAAACATCACCGCGCAGCAGACCGCAAAGGATCTCGAAGCCCGACGAGAAGAGAAGAAACTTTGGAAGAGAAGGTGGCTCGACGAGCAGGACGATATGAAGTTCTCACACAGCATTCAGTTCAATGCTGTTCCGGACTGGAGCAGCCATTACATTGCCTACAGCAACCTAAAGAAACTGTGAGTGTCCAATGCCTCCTCTGGCCTTGCCATGTCGTTAGGATCTAGGCCCACTAACTAACCTTGCATTGTAGGATCTACCAACTCGAGAAGACAGTCCACCAAACCTCCGCAGGTGACGCCGAATCAAGACCTCTTATCCGAAACGAAGATCCCGAAGATGTGTTTAGCCGTGCGCTTGGCGTAGAATCGGAGAAGATTTGCTCCTTCTACGTATCCAAAGAGGGCGAGCTTCTCGACGAGGTGAACCAATTGTTGGGAGACGTTGGCAACCATTCTTCAGAGGACGACGAAAACGATGGCGAACCCAGGCGATCATTCGGCAGCGCCTCCCGGCCGGGACTATCCGTCAACGGCAGGAGAACTTCCGTTTCGATCGATGGCAATATGGAGGACAGTGACGACGACGAGGATGATGATGAGACCACCGGGTTGACCAAGAGTCGCTCTAGCCTTGGAGGTGGCAGACGCAAGACCGCTCCGAATCTTGGGCATTCGGTCACCGATATGACCGCTTCAACCGAGTTGACGCTGGGAAGGTCGCTGCGGCGGTACAGCACGGCGAACGACGAGATGCCGGATCAGACCTTCCTTTACTCCTCGGGTATCATGCTCAAGAAGCGCATCATCAGCCTCTACGTCTCGCTCTGCGAGCTCAAGTCGTACGTTCAACTCAACCGGACGGGGTTCAGAAAGGTCTTGAAAAAATTCGACAAGATTCTTGACAAGGAGCTGCGGGTCAAGTACATGACCGCCAACATCGACTCCGCATACCCATTCAAGCCGGAGAACATCAAGAGTATCGAGGAGAATATCTCCAAGATGGAGAAGGCGTACGCCGAGATTGTGACTCAGGGCGACGAGGGACTTGCCAAGCGCGACCTGAGATCTCATCTCCGCGAACACGTCGTGTGGGAGCGCAACACTGTCTGGCGAGACATGATTGGTATGGAGCGTCGTGCGGAGGCTGCGAGCTTGGGCAGGGGGCTTCTGGGAAGGGATGGAGCGACGGGATCCAGGCGACTGCAGGGTGATGATGAGCTTGCCCCAGTCACCAAGGAGGTGGTTACTCCCGTGGGCCGTTTTGTTGTGCCGACGTGGGTTGCCAACACGCCTCTGCTCACCCTCCTGATCGCTGTCGGCGTTTTTCTCCTTCTCCTTTTCCTCCCCATCATGGAGAAGCCCGAGCAACAGAACTGTTTGGCGTTGCTCGTGTTTGTCAGCATCCTTTGGGCTACAGAGGTGAGTTCTCCTCTGGACTGAATGTAGGTGATCGATGCTAACCTCAAGGCAGGCCATTCCGTTGTTCGTTACGTCGCTTATGATACCCTTCCTCTGCGTCGTTTTGACTGTCGTTCGCTCTGAAGACAAGCCTTACAGGAGGCTTGATGCCAAGGCCACTACAGCCTACATCTTCTCGGCCATGTGGACACCAGTCATCATGCTTCTCCTCGGTGGATTTACCCTGGCTGCGGCTCTATCCAAGTGCAAGATTGACAAGCGGCTCGCGACGTTTGTCCTGAGCAAGGCCGGCACCACTCCGCGCACCGTACTCATTGCCAACATGCTCGTTGCAGCATTTGCTAGCATGTTGATCAGCAACGTCGCTGCGCCGGTTCTTTGCTTTTCCATCATCGAGGTCAGTTTTCTCCCACCCCCTTCCTGTTGGGAATCACCACTGACTTGTGCTGTAGCCCATGTTGCGAACCTTGCCCTCAGAGTCAAACATGTCTAAGGCTGTTATCATGGGAATCGCGCTCGCCTCCAACATTGGCGGCATGCTTTCTCCCATTGCCTCGCCTCAGAATGTTGTCGCCATTGGTATCATGAAGCCCGCGCCTACCTGGATCCAGTGGTTCTTCATTGTCATCCCTGTCGGCATTGTCTCACTGCTTCTCATCTGGATCTTGCTATTGATCACGTTCCAACCGAGCAAGGGAACCACGATTGCTCCGATTCGCCCTGTAAAGGAGAAGTTCACAGGCATCCAATGGTTTGTCTCCATCGTCACGCTTATCACCATCGGCCTGTGGTGCGGTAGCCACCAAATGGAGTCCATCTTTGGTGACATGGGTGTCATTGCCATCATCCCCATTGTCCTCTTCTTTGGCATTGGTATCCTGACCAAGGAAGACTTCAACAACTTTCCGTGGACCATCATCATTCTGGCTGCCGGAGGTTTGTCCTTGGGCAAGGCCGTCAAGTCATCTGGTCTTTTGCACACGGTTGCTGGCGTCGTTACCAAGGAGGTTGAGGGTACGAGTCTTTACGTCGTCCTCGTCGTCTTCTCAGCTCTTATTCTTGTCATCGCCACTTTCATCAGCCACACAGTCGCAGCTTTGATTATCCTGCCGTTGGTATTTGATGTTGGCTCCAACATGGACGAACCCCACCCGAATCTGTTGGTCATGGGTGGTGTTTTGATGTGCAGTGCCGCTATGGGTTTGCCAACAAGTGGTTTCCCCAACATGAGTAAGTTTCTTCAGAGTTACCAGGATCGGCAGATTACTGACCAACGACCTAGCTGCCATTATGAAGGAAGACCCGACGGGCCAGAGATACCTCCAAGTGAAACATTTCATCAGCCGAGGTGTACCCAGCAGTATTCTCACACTGGTTGTCGTCGTGTCATTGGGATATGGCCTGATGAGGGTCGCTGGGCTAGACTAAGGTCCATACGTGGCCGCTACGTACATGCATTTGGTCATTGGTATTTGATTCGTATGCTTGAAAGAAAAAATGCTGGGCTGCGTTTCCTTTGATTTGTTTGAAAAAGGGCGTAAACCCAAAGGCTCTCCAAAGGGAAGCCTGCGGTCGGAACATAGACACCGGTTCACATATTACACTTGGCTTTTCCCTGGGTTTTTGGTTGATAGTTTTATTGTTCTTTTATCGTATGTAGACTGGAGTAAGCGATAGAATGGTACTGCGACGCGTTTACTCGAGCAAGGATCCAGATAACTTTGCAGGTCTCTGCTGAATATCTCAACTTCAGCTGAAATTGACATCTCAGTGGAAAGGTGTGATGTTTCTGACGTAGTAGACAAGATGAAATGATGTTGAAAGTAAGCTTCCATGCATGTGACGCCGATATGCTCTGCGAATCCCGGCAAGCCCTCCAGCCAATCACTTTCCGTAAACAGCACATGTTGAAGGAGGTGGAGACAGGGTGCTCCAGGTGGAAGGGTGGTAGCGGCGCTAGTCCGAATTGGGCAGAGAAAGAGGTCATCGGCTCCCTTGTGGAGACTTCGCCCTGACGTACCGCCAGACGGCGCACTTTCGCCCAGCCATACCCGAACCGATACCTGGAGCTCAACAATCTCTCTCTCACACACGCGCGCGCCGTCATGATCGCATCTTGACGCTCTACTGTGACAAACTCGACGCTCCACTCTACGAAACACCCTTCTGATGAGGGTATAGTAAACATACAGCATATCCGCTCGGTGAGCTGGCAGTCGCCATGCTTTCGGCATTCACAGCTCGGCCGATCATAGAGCTAAAGCAACGGGATAAGTCCAAGATTGAGACAATCCTCGCGCATGGTGCGCTCCTCCCAAGTCGCATACTCCTAATGAAGCAGCCTCATCTAATGAATTGACGTAGGCGATCGTGTTTTCGTAGGCCTCAACAGCGGAGCTCTTCGCATCTACCGCCTCAACGAGCTGCCGCCTCCGTCGCCGACCCAGGCCAATGGCTCCTCCCAACCCGTTACGGCGAGTCCACAAGACGCAACCGACACCAACCCGACGACTGAACAGCCGAAGAAACCTACGGACCTGCTGCGCGAGGTAGAAAAGTTCTCCAACAGGGCGATTGAGCAGCTCGCCGTCATTAAAGAAGCCAACACTCTCGTGTCGTTGTCGAATTACTACGTATCCCTCCACGATCTTGGGACCTACGAACCCCTGGAGACTCTATCGCGAACGAAGAACGCCACCTGCTTTGCCGTCACATCAAACATCGTGAAAGATGCAGCGACCGGAATACCAGAGATTATAAGTCGCCTGGCGGTGGCTGTCCGCCGTCGATTACTGCTATGGAGCTGGCACGAAAGCGAGTTGAGCGCCGATGTTGGGGAAGTCACACTACCGGAATCGATACGAACCGTCACATGGGCCAGTGCGACAAAGATTGTATGCGGAATGAACGCGGGATACGTTTTGGTTGACGTAGTTACTCACGAGGTCGAGGATATCAACAGTCCAGGCTCCGCGGCATCAGGCGGGCAGGCTAGTCGTTTCGGAGCGGTGAGCAGCGCTGGAATGGGCTATATGGGCCTCGGAGGATACATGCCCAAGCCGCTCGCCGCGAAGCTGGCTGAGGGCGAGCTTCTACTGGCCAAGGACATCAACTCAATGTTCATTACGGACGAAGGGAAGCCAGTTGAAAAGCGACAAATTCCGTGGCAAGCGGCTCCTGAGCAGATCGGCTACTCGTACCCATACATTCTGGCATTGCAAGCTCCGTCAAAAGGCTCGCTTGAAGTCAGGAATCCAGAGACGTTGCACCTGTTGCAGACCATGCCCCTCCCAGGCGCGGCACAACTTCACTTCCCACCACCTAATGTTAGTCTCGCTCACGCGGGGAAGGGATTCCACATTTCCAGCGACCGATGTGTTTGGAAAATGGGAGCTACCGACTACGATTCGCAAATCGACGAGCTGGTGGAAAAGGGCAAATACGACGAGGCTGTCAGCATCCTTGACATGCTAGAGGACGCCCTCCTACGGAATAAGAAAGAGACTCTCCGAGAGGTCAAAATGCTCAAGGCCGAAACGCTGTTTAAGCAAAAGAAATTTTACGACTCCATGGATCTCTTCAACGAGGACGATGTCCATGCACCGCCCGAGCGAGTTCTGAAGCTTTTCCCGCCTTCCATTGCCGGAGAAATGTCCGGTTGGGCGCATGGAGTGCAACCGGACGAATCCGGTAGCGATGAGAGGGAGGGTGAGGAGGAACCGCAGAAGAAAACAAACGGGGATAAGCCCAAGGAAGATGCAGCGGAAACCCCCGCGTCCCCTGCAAAAGGAGGCGTAGGCTTTGCCAAGTTATTTATGGGTTCTCGAAAACCGGTGCAACCAGATGCCGCCTCGATCATATCCAAGAAAGACACGATAGATGTCGAAGAGACTGGAAGCATCAAAAGCAAGCCGACCGAAAACCAGCCGCTTGAAGGCGAGGAGCTCTTGGCTGCTGTCACATCACTTGCTGGTTATCTTGTCGGGACAAGAACGCGTTTGCAAAGGGTCATCGACCCAAGTACTGGCAAGCTGAAGCGGACAGATACGAATGGCTCCAACGAAGAGACAATGAAGAGCTTTATGTCAGGCTCGCACGACGATGAGTCGGGAAGCCAACTCGAGGGAGAGATCCGGAGGACGTCGCGAATTGTCGACACCGCTTTATTCCGGACTTACATGATGACGAGGCCTGCTCTAGCTGGGCCCCTTTTCCGCCTCCCGAACTTTTGCGATCCAGACGTCGTCAACGAAGCACTGCTTTCACACAGCCGATACAACGAGTTGGTGGACTTCTTCAGCGGCAAGAAGCTTCACTCACAGGCGCTTGAGCTTCTCAAGCGCTTTGGGACTGCCGAGAAACCCGACGAGGCTGCACCCGGCCTGCATGGGCCTCAAAGGACAGTCATCTATCTTCAGACACTGCCGCCGTCTGAGATTGATCTCATCCTACAATATTCAGAGTGGACTCTGAGAGCGGATCCCAAGCTGGCCATGGAAGTGTTTATCGCCGACTCCGAAAACGCCGAGACGTTACCTCGTGGCCGGATCGCTCGCTTCCTAGGTGGGATCGATCCAGGACTAGAGGTGCAGTACCTAGAGCACATCATCTCCGAGCTTGACGAGTCGACTCCGGACTTCCACAATCGCCTGGTCGAGCTCTTCATCAAGCATTTGAAGGAAAAGAAACGGGACGATGAATGGGATGCAGAGATGGACCGTTTCGTGCAGTTCCTCAAGACCAGCAGCCAGTACAGTCTTAGCAAGGCGTTCAGCCTCATTCCACGCGACGGTAAGTTGATGCCCTTCGATGGCTTGTACCAACAGTAACTGACATGGTGCAGATCCTGCTTTCTATGAAGCTCAAGCCATAGTGCTGAGCAACATGGGCTCGCATAAGCAGGCGCTGGAGATTTACGTCTTCAAGATGAAGAATTATGCGAAAGCCGAAGAGTAAGTTTCAAACCTCCGGTGGGACATGACGGTAGCTAATTTCATTTTTCAGGTATTGTAATATCGTTCACAAGTCCAGAGACTCTAGGCCTTCGTCTCCAGACCAGTCACGACGTCCATCATCGGCAGATGATCCCGAAGATTCGGTTCCATCCATTTACCATACCCTTCTTTCGCTGTACCTGACTCCACCACCACCACATAAACCAGCACATGACCCGGCTCTCGAGCTACTGTCAAGGCACGGATCGCGTCTACCGGCAGCATCGACTCTCTCTCTGATTCCCGACGACCTTCCTGTTCGCGATCTCGAGTCCTACTTCCGAGGCAGAATTCGGTCTGCTAATAGCGTCGTGAACGAGTCGCGCATCGTAGCCCGGCTGAGAGACACGGAGCTGGTGTCGACGCAAGCGCTCCTGCTCCTTGGCGACGGCATACCTGGCGGACAGGGTGGACGCAACAGAAGGGTGACAATCACTGAAGAGCGTTTATGTGGTGCTTGCCACAAGAGACTGGGGCGAAGCGTGGTGTCGGTTCTTCCGGACAACAACGTAGTCCATTATGCTTGTTTCAACAAGGCAACGTCGCAGCGACTGCAAAGCTCTCGGGCAGGAAACTGGGCTCGAAGGTTTTCGTGATCGAAGGGGGTTTAAGAAACTGGCGTGCGAGTAGGCGGTAGTCTGGGGGCGTGTTGGTGTCGTTGCTTGTGTTTTCTTGTTCTTGGTACATATTGGTACTCGCATAGCCTGGGTTTTTGAGAGCGGCAGCATGATACAGCAATACCCCGTATATAGGTGGCAAAGAATGTACGATTGGCGCCGTGAAAGAAACAAAAACGAGGTGCCTGCTATTTTTTTTTGGCTTAATCCCCCGCCTTGATGTGTCGCTTCAGTCGTCCGAGGGGGGTGCCTCCTCGCCGTAATTCTCCTCCTCGAGTGCCTCGTCGACGGCAGATTTCTGTGCGGCGCCGTTCTTGGCGATTGCGGCCTCCTTGGCCTTGTCCTCTTCCATGCGGGCGGTGAGTTCCTTGTTGATGTGCTCTTGGGCGGCGTTGATGGACTTGCGCAGGGCGTTGAGGTAGGCGGACTTGTCGCCGGGGCCGGAGGATGGCGGGGCAGGGAGGGATTCGGAGAAGGTGAAGGGTTCGTTTGCGGGGGATTGGTAGGTTGCCGAGAATTGGAGGACCGGAGCGGCGGCGGTGCTATTTGTGTCTGTCATGGTTTTTTTTTGGTGGGAGAGATCTTTGGTTGGGGAGGGTTGGGTTTGTAGCGCGTTCAATGTACGGTAGCTGAAGTGGTTGCGATGTATTGATTTGGATGAGGCCGAACCGAAAAAGAAAGAAAAAAAAAAGGTATGACGAGAATTGAGCGGTGCGGCTCGTTGGGGGTTGGCTTGGAAAGGCTCAACTGCCCCTCCCTCCCTCCATCCATTCCAGCTGGTCCCAAATCCAATGTTCCGCTGAAGATGGAACCTGGAACAACTGCGGGGTTGATTACACTAAGCCAGCCCGCCCCCCCCCCCCCCCCCCAGCCCATGGATGCGCCGCCCAGGTCGTGCCAGGGTCGCAACCCGCGGCGCGTCAGGGGGGATGGATCATGGCAGGACTATTAGGTGGGGGCAGAAGAAAAGGACTCAGGGCAGTAATTCATTACACTGGCACGGCTGGCTCGCTGCACAATGGGTTGGATAAGATAGGTACCTTGTTCTATACAGAGTACTTCGTAGGCATCGTTCCTTGGTTCTGGCGGGCAGGGTAAGGTAGCATGGTCATCTGTTACATGGTGAAATCTGACGGGAGCTGACCCGGATTTGGTCCGCGGGGGTCGTTGGTTGGATGCACCGCAATTGGGGGGATTTGCTCACCGCAAGCGAAGACGGCCGCCCGTTGCCCGCTTCCTCAGCAACGAGAGTCGACATTTACCTAGTAATGCAGGGTTAAGTTGGATGCGGCCGCTGACCGATGGCAAGCGATGGATGGATTGATACGGATAGACAGCCAGGTATAATTACGTGCAGAGCAAGCCGCAAGGTATCCGTAAGATGCAATGGGACCCATTCCCGTGTACAGAGTACTTCGTACCTGAGGGACATTGTCAAGGTAGATTGCCTACAGGATCGCAGCCCGTACTACGGAGCACAGAGGCATTGATGCTGATCTTTGTCCCTTGTCTACCTCACACTTCGGCTCTGTGAGGGTGAGGCGCAATCCACTCCTCGCGCTTTCTCATAACCACGCCTATTTCCTCCCTCACCTCGTATTCCCCCGGCCTTTCTTACATCACCACCCTTTCTTTCTTCCAGCTTTCCAGGTTTCCTCGATCCTCGAGCACCACCACCACCACCACCACCACCACCACCCTTTCGAGGTGCTCTTGATTGCCCGACCGGACGAACAACCTTTTCATACTGCTCTTGCCCTCGCCAACCATTTCACTTTAACAAACCGATCCAAACAGAACAAACCTTCAAGAATCCTCCACCCGATCTTCGTTCGAATCGTCCGAAAAAATCCAAGATGTAACAGAACCCTAACACATCCACGACAATGCAACCAGCACGACCCCCGCCGCCCCGAGCGCCGGGCAGCTTCAGCCCTCTGCCGGGCTCGACAGATTCCACCGCACCGCACCCGCAACGTCCACGACCGCCCGCCCGCGCCGAGTCGTCATCGAGCGAAGAGAACCTCGCCATTCACATCGTCAAGCCCCGATCACACGCTCCGAGCGCGCCCACCGCCCCTTCCACCAGCACCCCGATCTATGCTCAGTTTACCGCCCAGGCCAATTCGAGCACCGCCAGCCTGCAAAACTTCTCGCGCCCGACTGCTCACCGGTCGGGAACCACGCCCGGAGGTCCAGTAGGCCCTGCCTCGGGAGGAGGAGGAGGAGGAGGAAACGATCTGAGCGCGAGTGTGAGCGCTGCCGCTGCTGCCCGCACCGCGAGCCCTCTGACCAAGGGACACTCGAGGAAGCACAGCCAGACGCCCGGCCTGTTCGACTCAACGCTGCCCTCGACGAGCCTCTCGAACCTGTCTCAGGTGGGCATGTCACACCCATCTGCCAACTCATCTTTAACACTTCAGCAACAGCAACAGCACCCGAGCCCTGCTCTCTCTGCGAGCCACATCGCGGCGCAGGCAGCCTTTCAACACCAGAACACCCAGCAACACCAGCAACACCAGCAGCTTCAGCACGCCCGACAGCGATCGCAGACCGTCCCGAACCCGGCCAACGGAGACGCCGAGAGCGCAAGGAGGGGGAGCAGCGGAAAGGGCCCACTCAGCCCGCCTATGCTAAGCCTGACCGAGGCAAGCGGTCCACGAGAGAGCGGCTTTGGAACTCAGGGATACCACAACGGCCTACTTGGAAGCCATTCAGCCGCCGCGACCACGGCAGCGAACGCAGCCAACGCAGCGGCAAACGCAGCGTTCCCGCGATCAGGGCAGACATCGCCTGGCTTGCCCCAGTCGCAGCATCAGCAGCAACAGCAACAGCACAGTCCTATCAACCCTACGCCGCAACTTATTCCAGATCCGAAGCCGGTGAAGCCAGAAAAGTCAAAGGTCAAACTCTTCTCCCGTCCGGTCAAGATCGGCACCAAGGGCGACCCTAAAGACAAACCGCTCCCTAGCCCGAGCAAGATCGGCAGCGCGCTCGCATCATTACAGCGCGGGAATTTCAGCACGAGTAGTCTCATCGATACCAGCGGGCAATCTATATACAATCTCAACAACGCATCCTCCGCAACCATCAGAGCAGTGCCCGAGACGCCCACCATGGAGAAGGAGGGCAAGGAAAAGGAAAAGAAGCATCATTTTTTGTCGCGGCAGAAGCACAAGCTCAAGGATGACTACCATCTACCGCTGTCTTCCGCATCGAGCAATTCGAAACCGACAGACCCCAGCGCCCCCTCGAGTTTGTACAGTTTCAACTTACCCCCTAGTCCGGCCCCGACTGCAACGTCGTTTGGCAAGGGACGAAGGGACAAAAAGACTGAAAAAGAGAGCAGCAACCTCGGCGTCGAGTCGAGTTCTCTCCCGTCGGAATGGCCAGGTCCAAGCAGCCTGCCGACGTTGACGCATCAGTCGTCGTATCTCTCTGAACCCATCGACGCAGGCAAATACGGCCTCAACAGCATGGCGCTCGACGATGCATGGCCGTATCTGAAAGCCAAGATGCTCGTTATTTTTGAAGGCGAAGACTTGCGACAGCCCGTGGAGGATTTCAATAGGCTGGTGACATTGCACATTCAGTACTGCATCCAGCGCATGTCACCCAACATCATTCTCGAGGATTTGCGCGAGCTCTTGTCGACCGGCTTTGCCTCCCTGGACCACACTCTCCGGCGCACGCAGGAGGACAAAGTCATTCCGGCTCTCGTCGAGATGTGGCTCATTACCTATACTTCGATTCTGCCCTATATGCAGGCCGTCTTCCTCCCCTTGGACCTGGAGTTCTCTGGCTGCGGCGTTCTTATGAACCCGGACCAAGCACGTCAATTCTGGGGCGGCGTCAAGTCACAATCTTCCGACAGCGGTCCGTACGTTAGTCCCGCATCCGCAGTGCTAGACGTGCGTCGCATCGTACTTACGGCCTACCGTGACATTGTCATCCTCCCCCGCTACGACTCCCTCAAAGCCATCTTCTCTCGACTGTCTCTCGAATTTCTCCCGTCCTCCTTCGCCTCCCTAGCCCTCGCATCTCCGCTACCGGATCCGGCGCTCTCATCGAGCCCCGCGGATGCAATCAGCATGATGCGACCCGGCACAGCCATGAGCCTCGATCCGTCCGTGGCGAGCTACAACTCGAACGCGACGACGCTGCTGGGCGACGGAAGCGCGGGAGGCGGCGGACGTAGCCGTGCCATCAGCAACGTCAGCTACGCCAGCGGCGGGAGCGACGGCCAGATGCGCCCGTTTACGCGCGAGCAGAACGTCGAGGACTCGAAGCAGGTCACCGAGATGGTGGGACGCATGTTGCAGTGCATGAGCATACTCGCCAGCATCGGGGGCGTGACGGGCGACGGCGGCGACGAGGGGAACAGGAGGATGGAGGAGCTGTGTCGGCTGCTGAAGCTGAATTGGCTTGGTAGGGGCCGGACGGGCAGGAACAGGAGGGGTATTGTGGGTGGGAGGAGGAGGGAGATACCCGAGTCTATTAGGGAAGGGTTGCGCGTTGTCTAAGGGGGCGGCCGTGATGGTTTGGCTTTGGTGCTTTTTCGCCCCGACCGTTCACCTGCTGGTAAGGGGAGGCGTTTATTCTTGGGATCAAGTTTGGGGGCTGTGGGTTTTAGACGTTCTTTTTTGACGAGGTGAATAACGCGGTGAAATGGCTACGGCCTCCGTGATGGCGTTTGTTTTCTGTGGGATTGGGCTGTATCTGGGAATTTCTCGTTACTCGTTTTGGAAGGGGCGGCAGCTGGATGGCCCTTCTTGTTGTTACATGGAGAAAGAAGCAAAAAGGTTACCAATGGAAGAGAGACGATGATGTTGATTATGGTGTTTGTGGTTCGTGATGAAGGTTAGGTTGAATAAGATGTTGTTTGATGTGTATTTGTATGGATGAGCAGTCCACGTGATTTATGCCGTGGTGCTTGAATATGGCATTTCGGTGAATCTCTTCGTTGGAGCCTACGTATCTTGTTTACTTACATTACGCTGGGCGCTTCAGATGGCCTGAATCCCATGATTTCTTGTACTTTTTGGTGATATCATGCGCGTCAGACTTGGAGGTTTCTAGGCAATACCGATTAGTCGGTGTGGAATCATACATCGCCGGTCCTGGAATTTGTTCACGATCTTCTGTTGAACCAGTTTTTAGTTCTTGTCTTTGGATTGACATCACTTTATGGTGTTGACAGCGAGTTTGGAGCATCGTGTGAGTTCCGTGTAGTCAAATCGTGTATTTTGTATGGTGCATATCCCGTCAAGGTCGTTATTTGGCGCCTGCAAAGACGAAATATACCACTCCATGATTTCCCTTGAACGCCATATCCCGTCATATTCAATCTTTTGCGCCTGTCCAGCCGGACCAAGACACCCCGCATGTCCCCATCTTCAAATTCCCGGCACGTCATATTCACGAGTCACAGGAAGGGGCAAATAACAGCGTGATTTGCGGAGAAAAGTTTGTCATTTTATTGGAATTTCTGCTTCTCGTCGCGTCCAAAAAGTCGCCCGATTTCACACACTGCTCAAGTCTCCCTGGGCTCGAACAGCTTGCCAGAAGCGCCCTATTCTGGAAATCCTGTTAGCTTGCGTTCAAACAAAATTAGATTTTTAGTGAAAAATGCGGGTTTTGGAAATAAAATCAGACATCCAAGGAAGAATTATCCCTCATCTGTCGTGTTAAGACACGCTTTTCAGCGTGCCCGCCTATAGGCTCAGGCTTACGACTCAAGAGGAAACTGCAAATTCGGTGTGGAAGATTCATCATGATGTAGTATGGGTGTGTTGATGTGTGAAGGGATAGATGAAGTACTAACCTTGTGACGTGGGGTTGATGGAAGAAGGGATGCTGTGTGGTCAGTGGGAAGAGGTCAAAAAGGTATTAGTAGTTGGCGTCATGTGTTCCTGGATCTGAATTCACAGTTGTCAGCGATGTTTGCTCTTCGAGGCAAGAGATGCCAATGCTGATGAAGTGTGAAGATGATGTGTCAGACAGAATATACTGGCAAGTAACAGGTTCCTTTCGAGGGGAACCCGAACAGACTAGGTTTCTTCATGGTCGATTCGGTTGGGAAAAGAAGACAATGTTTCTTGAATGTCATCATTCGGAGTGGGAATGTAGTAGGCTTGTGAAGCCGTGAGAAAAGAAAGTTGTGATGCTTACCTGTACGCGGGCGTCGCAGCGACAGCCAGGGAGCGCGCGCAAACGCAAAACACTTCCTGCAAAGCTTGGAATAAAGCTTGCAGTTGCGAGGCAGCGTCGCGGTCCTGGCGGTCGATGCGAGGTGGCGTGAGAAGTTGGTTGGACAGAGATGGTAGGAGGTGAGGTTTGACGTGCAGGAGAAGAGATTTTATAGATGAGGCTCACGAAGAGAAGAGTGGAGTCACAGCCTCAAGAGATTTTTTTTTTTCTTCCCCTGGCACCCGATCCTTTGGGCGAACAGACCCACATACCCCTCACGTGACTCGAGCTTGGATCTCTGGTCGGGTCCGAGAAAGCCTGGTGGGGATTGGGGGGGAAGCTAAAGACACAAGGCACCACGTGACCTTGAAGCTCGGAGATATTCGCCGTAGTGGCCGATCCCCGCCAAAGAAGGATTTAGATTGACCTCATTGGACCCCTTCTCAAGGTTCATGTCACCAGACGAAGCCGTGGGCGAGGCGACCCAACACCTCTCTCTCTTGTCCTCCAGTGAGGCATGTATGGGGTCGAGCAAGTAAAAGTGACCGGGTGATTCGGGGGACACGTGGTGGCCATTGACGGAGGCAAAACCTAGGCGGAGGACGGGTAGGTCTACGCGATTCCGGCGCTGTCATTTTCGCACATTTGTCATGTTGCTGCCGTGGAGGCCATCGCAGCGGAAATTCGGGGTGTGGTCCAGCGAGGTAGGTTGAAAGGGCGGGAGTGAGAGGATCGCAAGTGTCCGGCCCGGGCCCTCCTCCTACTTACGACAGCGCTGAGCACTGAGGTGAGAGGTGGGCTTTTGCTGTGCTGGTCAAATCTGCTACACCTGCTTGACCCCTGGGTGGATATTGCTGAAGAAGCTTGCTTGCCTTGTTGTATAAAAGTGCTGATCGCAGTCACTCAACTCTTCTCCATATGTGCATATCCAGCATTTTTCTGGAGCTTCCCGCCAGCCTATTCCGGCATATCCATGTTTCTTTCTGTATCCTCTTTTGTTACATAGCGTATCTTACAAAACGATCAGACCCACTCTGCCGATGGGAGAAGGCGGGCAGCCTGACTGGCAAGGTCGCGCACCCGCCCACCTCACGCTTTCTCTGTCCCTGCTCTGTTCCCGTTCCCCAGGGGCCCTCTCTCCAGTCCTGCCCGTCTCTCTTTCTCGCTCGACCTCGACCTTATCCCGCCATCTTATGCCTTATGCCTTGTACCTTGCCTCGTCTTAGCTTACCTTGCTCTGCCTTCTCTGCCTTCTCTCACTGCTTCCATTGCTGTCTCTTGATCGGCCTCAGGGTTTGGATTTGGCCGTAACTTGACGCCTCGCCTTTCTACCTCACGGAGTACCTTACGGATACAACCTACCATCTCAACAACACCACTTGGAGCGTATCCCACTCCTCCTCAAACACCCCTGGCTGAAGCCTTTTTTTATCATTTGTTCCAGTCTATCGGGGTTCCGGGCGCTCATCTCGTTCCGCAGTACTGCTTAATTGCAAAGTGGTACTCCCCCATTCCCGCCTCAAACAGCCATCCAGCGAAGCAAATCACTTGGGTTTCCGCTGCCCGCTTGCAAAAGAGCCAGAGCTCAGCAGGCCCAGGCTCTCTCTCTCCCAGTTCCCTTTGGTTGCGTCTTTGCGTCTGTCCGTCCTTCTTCAGCCAGCCTGCCAACACCGCAACGCAACGCACCGCACCGCACCACTCACCCACCTCCAAAAAACCCCCCCAAATCTTTCTCTCTCTCTCTCTCCTTCCCGCTTTCCTGACAAGGCAAGGCGGCGCGGAAAGGCTTGTTCGTTGCGCTCGACGTGTGCAATAAAAATTGGGCATCTCGAACCAACCCGCTCTCCGAATGTCATCGACACCGGTTGATTGAAGCATACCTCGTCCACTCTCACGAGATTTCCACCTCTGTTCCGCTCGCTTTCGCTATCGCGCGAAACCTCGACACGTCTTTGCGTCGGGTCGTATCCATCCATCCTTTCGAGATTAGACAACCAACCCATTTTCCCTTCTCCGTCGCCCACGTCTTTGCCGACGCCAACTTTCTCCTACTTACTCAGTCGGGCTCTCCTTTGGTCGCAGGGCACCCACCCGCCATCTCACCTCCCCCGACTTCATTTCCACTTCTTTTGTTGTTTGTCGTCGCATCCCGACCTCCTTAACACAATATCGCCAAACCCCCCGTTGTCGTCACGCCGATCATCGATGCCTTCTTGGTCCCTCTTCACCTGTTGACCCGGCCGTTCGCATTAAACGACTCCTATCGCAATCGATAACGCTAGTCGAACCCGCCCGTACCACGCGATTGACACCACTTCCCGCGTCTTGCAAATCACGACTCCATCGCTCCCGCGTCGCGCCCATCTCCGCAACTCCAGCCGCCCCAATCCTCCGTACTTTTGCGGCCCCGATTGTCGATTGTCGTCGCGATAGACCGCCTTCAGACGCAGGCGCATGAGATAGTGCGGAGGGTAGACACGTCGATAACCACGCTGTGGATTATCGACACGCCGAAGACATGATGACGAGTATGGGACCGTCTTTTGCAGGCCATCCTGCCGGCATGCAACAGCATCCAGGTGTACCCGGGCACCCCATGGCTCAGGGTATGCCTCATAACCCAGGGCAGCAAGGCCCGGGCGGAGGAATGCCTCACCAGATGCACATGGCAGTATCAGGGCCTGGTGGTCAGGTTAATCCAAATCAGTTGATGGGCGGCATGCCGCCGGGTGCTGGAGGTCCGAACGCTCACGCTCTGCAGCATCTCAATCCTGCCCAAAACCAAATGTTCCAGCAAAGTCAGTTTGGTAACTGTATGTCGATTCTCCTCATCTAGGCCCGTCTCGTCTACTTGCTTCCCTACTGACCAAGTCGCGTAGTCCAAACTCCAGCGGCGATGGCGCACGCCACCCAGGTCGCGCAGCAGCGGTTGTTCCAACAGCAGCAACAGGCGCGACAAGCGCTCATGGCCCAGCAGGCCTTCAACGCGAATATGGCGGGCGTCAATGGTATGCCGATGGGGATGCCAATGAACCCGATGAACGCAGCTCAGATGGCGGCTATGAGGCAGGGCATGCGGCCGGTAAATATCGCACATCCACCTTGTTACTCACATTGCTTACGATGGGATATAGCAGCAACATAACCCCCAGGCACAAGCGATGCTCGCTCAGCAGATCGCTCTCCAGCAGCAAGCCGTCGCTCAACAGAATCAACAGATGCAACAACAACAACAACAGCCTGGTCAGCCGGTGCAGATGAACCCTCAGCAGCACATGCAGATGCAGCAGGCCCAAATGGCAATGCAGCAGCAGCAAGCCCAGCAGCAGCAGCAGGCTCAGCAGCAACAGGCTCAGCAACAGGCCCAGCAACAGGCTCAGCAGCAAGCGCAACAGCAGCAGCAGCAACAGGGCCAGCAACCCCAAGGCGGACCGCAACAGCCTCAACCGCAACCCCAGCAGACACCGCATCAGACACCGCATCAGACACCACAGCAGCAGCCCGCGCAACCCGTCAACCCTCAATCTGCAGGGCAGCCCACGCCGTCTCAGACTCCGGGTCCGGCCCCGAACCAGCAACCGCAGCCTCCTCAGCCTCAAGCCCAACCGCAGGGTCCTCCTCAAATGGCTCCCCAACCAGGACCGCAACAGATGAACCCCGCGGCTCAGGCTGCGGCTCAGGCTGCGGTCGCCAACAGCTTGGTTCTTGCTCAACAAAGAAGGGAAGGAATGAAGGGACACTGCCTACTCAAGTTGATGCAGTTCAGCGAACATTTGAGCGGCTTCCCTGTAAGTTGGAACTGAAGACAGCACTCTATTACAGCTCACTGACAGAAGATACAGGGCCCCAAGGGCAAAGACGACCTGTCCTACTGGAACAGCTTCGTCAATCAATTCTTCTCCACGAAAGGCGTGTTCCGACACTCTGTACACATTACCGACGTCGAAGACCAGGCAGATAAGCAATACGAGATAACATACCCTGCACTTCCTCGATACTTCCACACGCACTTCGACAGCGGTGTCAAGAACATGCAGTTGATCATGGAAAAGGGGATGACGGATCGACCGCTCCCTGGCGACGGCCACTGGATTGAGAATACCAAGTCCAGCCTGGTCTACTGGTATGATAGCGGTTCGCACGTAAGTTGATTTCTCCAATTGCCAAGGACACATACAGATCCTAACACTGTCGCAGCTTGTCGCTACGGGCACCGTCAGAGCTCACTTTGATGCGGAGCAAAAGATTGAACTTTTCGAGTTCTTGACAACCAACCACGAAGAATACATTTCTAGAAAGGCCGCCATCGAAGCTGCGAAGCCTGTGCACAACTGGGTCAAGGAGTGGCACAAGGTTAACTCCCCTGACACCAAGACTTCCCCAGAAATGAGCAAGAAGGGCAAGGCTCGCCCTATGAAGTCCCCGCAAAATCCTCCTCCAGAAGCACTGGTGGATCTTCCCGAGTCGGCGGTCAAGAGGGGTATGGGAGTTACCGAAGCTGTGTTCCAGTTCCTCGAGGTATGTGACAGCTCGCCCGCGCATGCATGTGGATCTCCGGCACTAAAGATGACATGCAGATTGCTGAAGTGATCGGCCAAATGAACCCCCTTTTCGCCTTCTACCACAACCACCCTAACCTCGGTCCATACGCTGCTCTTGAGCAGTATGTTGGCCAGATCAACGCCCAGCCGCAGCAAGTAATGAACGGTCAGCCCATGCCACCAGGCCAAGCTCCCAGGACACCCAGCTTCGGCCAGTTCCCGATGGGTGCGAGCCCAGCTCAGCCGCATATGCAGCTTCCTGGCTCGCCTCATGTCACTGGCAGCCCTGCGCAGGGCCACATGCAGGCACCCGGCATGCAGATGCAACAAAGCCAGCAAGGCACCAGCTCCAGCGGACCTAGTGCAAACACGTCTCCAGCTTCCAACAAGCGAAGACGCCCATCCGGCGTGAAGATGGAGGAGGACGGCTCCCAGGCACCTACCCCGGGTGGTCCTCAGGTCAACGGAGTCCAGAACAAGGGCAAGCCGCCTACGCCGCGGATGGCAAAGAGAATGAAAGGCAACCCGGCGTAAGCTGGAGGGGTGTCTTTGGACATTCAGGTTATGCTCTAATATGAGTCTGGCTACGCAGGCTCAGTAATGCCTTTTTTTTTTTTTTAATGTCATCATTATGCAGCATGGCGGCGTCTTATTGCTTGGCTTTCTGGCTCTGGGATCTCAGGGCTGTTCATATGCGGGTGTTTGGCAAGCATTTTGGACGTTCGGTGCTGGCTGGAAGCTCAATCCACCACATGTCCTATGTCGAATCTCGTTTGGCATCTAGGTCTCCCTTCACCCTCGACCGAGCCCACCTACCTGGAAGGGCAGGCAAGTTCCTGCACAACCTTGGGACGGGACTTCACCAATTGTCTGCTGCGCAAGTGGTGATGCCTCGGGTCGAAGGAGGCGCCTGCGCCTCTGCACGCCGGAGCAACGGCGCAACGGTAGCAAGTTGTTGCCTAGCAATCGAGATACGCAGAGGCTAATCGAGACAACAAAGCTTGTCCATATTCCTCCCCCCCACCTGTACGATATCACGCTCGGCTACTGTCTAGCTCGTGCTCACTGTTTCATGTTTATCCCTCGAGCCGCCTCGTATTGTCTGATTTGCCCATCGGGGTCTCGATCACGTCTCCAAGCTATTTTTCTTTTTTGTTGGCGAGGAATGAGTTGGGGAAAGATGGGTTTCCAAAAAAAAGAAGTTTTGTGGATTTATTTTTTTCTGGCGGAAAGCTTTTTTGGCTCCTTGTTCTAACGGCGGCGGAGGGTGGTGTTTTGTCGGCGTAGTCGTTACTTGTCGCTTTATTTTCCTCCCATCTTACAAATACCTAGTCTCTCATCGGAAAGGAAATATGCATACCCAGATTCTTGACAGGAAGTTGACTTGACTTGATGTGATAACGGTTGACATGTTTGAACTACTTGGAACTGTCCAGGTCAGGGTATGGTATCTGGTGACTACGATTGATGCTGTATGAAGCGCCTGCCTGCCTTTCACCATGGGCACGGCCTATCTATTTATGTTCAAAGCATACCAGAGCACGCCCATGTGTATGATCCATCGTCTCTATTAACTTCCTCTCATAGCATTAGTGGTTCCATCCAAACTAGCAACCTTATGTCGACTTCTCAGGGAACAGCGCTGGAAAGATGGGAGGACCCTTTGGGGATGGAAAGTGGAGGTAGCATCAAGGTATTCAAAAGTGTTTTGGTCAAATGGTAGGCATATTTGGGCAAAGAATATGAAGCAGCCAATCTATTTGTTAAAAAGCGCGTTATGTAACTATGGTATTATCACAAACGGCGTTGCCGGCACTGTCAGAAGTTGGCCCACGATACAGGAAGGGGGGGGGGGGGGGGAACACACATCTGGTGATTTTGTCACAATCATATCATTCCATTGGAGGGAAAAACACGCGGGTTCTCTGAGTGGTGCGAAAAGGAAGTATCTCACCACCCTGTCGGTTTGCACACAACACTCATCAACACTCATCGGAGATGGCTTGGGTATTCTCACTTATGATGGAACTTATCCGCCTTCCGCGATTATGTTTGTTTTCTTCTTCACTTGTTTGTCAGGGTGACTCTATAGATTCACAGTTTTTCGCCCGCAATTTTTATGTCATCTTCTTCACTGGACTGATAAATATCGCTTCTGCCTGTCTCACCTCATCAGAGGTAATAGGTAGCAACGTCGAGAAAGACCACCTGGCGACTTACGCGACGAACCAGGCAACATTATTCGAAAAGGTGCACTCAGAGGGGCTTACAGTCGAATCAAACCTTTGAAAATATGACATCCACCAACAGCCAAAACAACATCGAGGCAGATAAAGAGCGAAAGAGAGGAAAGAAAAACAAAATGCCTCTCTCCCGCTCCGCATCCGGCTTAGACGCCATCCTCAACCGTCGAGACGACGACGACGACGACGACGACGGAGTAGCAACCCATCTCCTTCTCTCCAGCCCCCTCTCGACAATAGCGAGATATCTCTACGAGTTTATTCCCGTTTCGCATCCCGTGGTGTATCCCAACGGCAACGACGACGCCGTGACGGTAGTCTGCATCTCCGACACGCACAACACCAAACCGCGCCTGCCGCCAGGCGACATCCTCGTGCACGCGGGCGACCTCACGGCGTCGGGGACGAAGAGGGAGCTACGGGAGGCGCTGGCGTGGATTCGAGCGCAGCCTCATCGGTTCAAGGTCGTTGTTGCGGGAAATCATGATTTGTGTTTGGATGAGGGCTTTGGACGGAGGCAGGGGAGGAAGGGGAAGGGGAAGGGAAAGGAGATGAAGCTTGCTGGAGAGGCACTAGATGGGGAGGGGTACTCGATATCACGCGGAGATGAAGACGACGACGACGACGACGACGATGGGTCACCGCTGGACTGGGGCGACATCATCTACCTAAACCGCACAGCAACGACTCTCACACTACCCCCGCGCCGCCCCAACGGCGGGGGAAAGACGTACGCTGACCGCGAGGTCCGCGTCTACGGGAGTCCGTATACGCCGCGATTCGGCAACTGGGCCTTTCAGTACCCGCGCTCCGGCGGCGCATCATCCTCCTCCTCCTCCTCCTCCTTCGCCGGCGCCACCTCCTCGCGCAAAGCAGACGCCAACAACATCGACAACGATAGCTCCAACCCCTGGCGCAACACCATCCCGCCCGGAACAGACATCCTCGTCACCCACGCCCCGCCAAAAGGCCACATGGACGATCCGCGCGGCCACTGGGGGTGCGAGATGCTCCTGGCGGAAATCTGGCGTGCGCGGCCGCGGCTGCACGTCTTTGGGCACGTACATTGCGGGCGCGGGCGGGAGGCGGTTGCGTTTGATGGGTTGCAGGCGGCGTATGAGGATGTTGTGTTGTTGGAGGCTGAGGCTTTTGCGATGGCTGCTGGTGTTGGTGCTGGTGTTGGTGGTGTGGTGATGGCTTGGGTCAAGGCTTTGCTTGCTCTGGGCTGGTGTTTCTTGGTTTGGGGATGGGTGCTTTGGTGGTGTGGAGGACGGAGGGGTACGGGGAGGACTGTGTTTGTGAATGCTGCTGTTGTTGGGGGTGTTCGCGATCGTTTGGTTCGGGAGGCTATTATTGTGAGGATATAGGAGTTATGTGTGTGTGACAAGTTGGAATAGGCTTTTCGGGAATGGGCGAAGGTCTAGTTTAAAGTTGACGTTCTCTATGAGGCTTCTGCTCATAGTATTGTTGCAGTTCGTACCTCAGTTGAAGCGATTGATAAAAGTGATTATACGACGTGTATAAAAGGACGGGAATAGGCGACTCTGACGTTTTCTAATTAGCAAAGTGAGGTTTGGTCTTACTGCGGAGTGAAGCCATCACAGCATTAGTCCATCTGACTCCTCGTCGTCTACAAGCAACGAACCCAGCTAACAATCACTGTATAAGCCCAAAAAATAAATAAATTTTTTTTTTTTTTTGAAATCTGAGGCCACTGTCATGAGAATTATATCGTATCCGAAAGTGGCAAAAGGATAGAGGTCCATCCAGGATTCGAACCTGGGCCTACGGAAGGTTCTGAGAATCAGAATCCGACGTCCTAACCAACTAGACTAATAGACCGATGATAATATTGAAGCTAGTCGAGCTGCTTCGGAATCCCAGGAGCCGGTGCGCGTATATGTAGCCTTTAAGCCGCGGCAAAGACGATTTGTTTCGAATGTGGCCGTGAAAGTGCATCGCAAGTGAGTAAGTAGCCTTTGGAAGAGCGCCTTCGTGTTTGCGGTGATACATGGCAAAGATGTGGGCCACGTCCTGTGCGGCTGTGAAAACCAAATATTCCTTTTCGGCTACCCTTTCTCTCTCTCTCTCTCTCTCTCTCTCTCCGCCCTAGATTCGCATAGGCCTTAGTCACAAGCCGGTTTGAAGTAAACATCGAGAGAGGCATCGAGAAAATGACTGCTAGAACAGACGAAGAAATCGAATCTGATTGATAGAAAACTCCTGAAACGCCAAACCATGCTATGCGCCTTATACTTGAAAGACTTCAAACAAGTACCTATGTCTCCCGCGCCTCTCTTTTTCATGGGCGCGGGTCTCAAACCAAAGAGGATACCCCAACGAAACAAAAATCAACGAGACGTTAGCCGTCCATGACTACAACCATCCGCTGCCGCTACTCTCTTTCCCCCTCTTCCATCCCCAAGCGCATCATTTCAGAATCGCAATCAACAAAACAAGAATGATAATAAGCACAACAATAGTCATCATCTGCTTATTCTCCCCAGCGTCCCTCGCAACCTTTCCCAGCGACCGGCGCGCCCGGTCAAGCCGGCCCTGGTGCCGATCCACAACCTCGTCCACCTCATCCAACATGGCGACGTGCGAGTCGAGCTCGTCGCCAATCTGCATGCTCAGCTCCCTCTGCCGCCCAATCGACTCGCCGAGCCGGTCCAGGTGGTCGTCCTGGTCGCGCATGATTTGCGAGTGGTACGCGTGGATCTGCTGGTTATCTATGCCCTCGGCCTGGTCGCGGTAACCCGCCGTGTCGGCGGGGTCATCGCGGTATCGTCCCGGGCCGAAGAGTGCGGCGACGGCGGCGGCGTCTTCTTCGGCGGCGGCTGCTGCTGCTGCCGCGGCGCCGGGGGAATCGGTGAAGCGGACGGTTTTGCTGTTGTTTGCTGCGGCGCCGCCGGGGAGGCCGCGGAGGGAGCCTTTGAGGGGTTTCGTGGACTGGGCGGCGTCAAAGTCGGTGGCGAGGGAGGGGTCGTTTGGTGATGTTGTGGTGGAGGAGGTTGATGGGTTTGAGAATCCGTGGAATTGGGAGGTCAGGTCTGAGAACTGCTTCTGTAGGGCGGGGATGGAGTCGGTGATGTTCAGGGCGGCGCTGCGGGAAGAAGAATATAAATTAGCGTTTGAATTGTACGTGAGAAAGGTTACGATTCTCATGCTGGTTTTGGAGGACTCCCGGTATGACGTCGGTTCGTTGAAGTAAAGGAAAGAGGACCAAAGGGGGGAAGCTCACCTCTCATCACCAGCACCCTGCAGGCGCTTGGCCTCGGCGTCTAATGCTTCCAAGCCATCTTTGAACTGATCGAGCGAGCGGGAGATGTGCCCGTCCTGGGTGTCGGCGTCGAGGTTGAGCGACAGGGCGCGCTGGCGCTCCAGGAGGGAGAGCTTGACGTGGTCGGCGAGCAGGTAAAGCTGGTTCAGGGTGGACATGTTCTTGGTCTTTTTTGTCTTGTGCGAGGGTTTCTATGGTAAAGATTTCGATTGTTCTTTTCACGTCGGTGTACGTTACGATTCCCGGCCGGCGCTTGTAATGGAAGGCAGAGTTCACAAGCAGAAGATTCGATTGGAAGGGATGACGATGGTGCAAACGTTGTTCCTGGATGGACCGGAGTGGTTGCGGATTCGGGGAGGTTTTGGAGGTGTTCATGTGCTGGGAGGGACGGGGGGGACGGAGACGGGGTGGACGGAGACGGGGGGTTGTGAGACAAGCGCTCAGGACGTCGTCCGCAAGAAGGGACTGTGAGTTACGTTTCTGTGCAGCGCGGCGCTGCAGTGGCAGGGGTCTTTGGGTCTGTATGCTTTCAAGGGTGCCTGGGGTACCTATTAGCGCCTCCGGTGGTTCGGGGTCACCTAACCCAATAATTGGGGAGCCTAGAACTGCAGTGCTTTGCGTGTTGTCCACGTTGACCTTGATGATGCATGCACTCCACCTCACATCTCACAATTTCCGCATCTAGCATGCACTACCTAAACTTGAAGTATTTCCAAATCCCTCTAGGCAGCCGAGAGTCTACCCTTACGCTGGAGCTAGAGCTCTATTGCCTCGTTCAACGTGTGTTCCTTTGACCATGCAATGCTTCCACATCGGCCAGTTCATGGGAATTGCTCTTCTCACATCTCACACACAGCTGTCTAGGCTAGCTTCTCATTCTCATGAGTTATGACCTTGAGTGTTATCCTGCCATATCCCGAAAACCGGCGAATGGCAAGTAGTTGTGTTCGTGACGTTTCAAACGTAACGCTCAGTTCCATGTAATGTAAGCAAGGCCAGCCCGAGCATCGTCTGACCAGTGTCATCACGGCGTCTGTAAGTCATACCAGATGGGCGACTATTTAGTATCCATAGCATACAGTTTGAAGAGTGATGCTAACAGCTGGATGAAAGGTCTCAAGTTCGATTTATAAGAGTATATGTAAATGCGGCTTTGCTGTGTCAACGACGACGAATACTTCGTGTAACACGAGTTGACAGTCCTTGTAAACTTGATAATCCCTAGGAGCAAGCAGCTATCTCCTCTCACGATTTATCGAATGACGTCTCCATCCTTATCGATCCCGTCTAGAGCCTCGAGAATGTCACTACCGCCCAATATGCCAACCGCGCCCCCGGTAGTCGATTTTGGCTTGTCCTGCCAGACTTCATGAAACTTGAGAGTCTCATCACTTGATGCCACAACAATAGTCCCTTCCTTTGCTGTACGGCTTCCTTTGCGCGCATTTGACGGTCCTCCTGGGTACGGAATGGCGTACAACGCCCGCGGGCCACCCACCCAAGCAATAGCCCCAACTTGCCGACAAGACGGCCAGCTGAAGATAATGAGGCGATATGGGTGCTCGGTTTGCGCGTAGCCATGACTGTAGCCAAACGTTGCTGCTATTTCCCGCCGTGTCGTAGACCAAATCAACGAGGTGACCTGCGCACCGACATCGATGGTGGCCAGTGGTGTGCTAGACGTCGTGTGAAAGAAGTGGATGCACTTGTCGCCCAAGCCGCCGCCAGTGGCAACGAGCCCGTTCTGCCAGGGGCAGAATGCGATTGCCTTGATTGCAGCTTCGTGCCGCCAACAGTGCGTTTCCATGCCTCGCTTGAACACCCGCAGGTCTTCTGTAGGCGCTTGTATCGTTCGAGGGATGCCTCCAATTACACCGGCCTCGATGGTTGCGCTTATCGGAGCGACGTCAAGCAACGTTTCCGCGCCTGAGATCAATCCATTGTGGCTCGCTTCATACTGCTTTGGCCGAGGGCAATCACTTCCTGAAAGGCTCCAATCATTTTTTGACCGGTGGCCTGTGCGGATCAAAGTCGTAGATGAGTTGTGGTGCCTGCGTTGTCTCTCCATCCGTTGTATCTCAAAGTAGCAGGCCGTGTTGTCGTTGCTCCCGGAAACAAAGTCTTGGCCGTCGGGAGACCAGACCAGCGCACATATCTGCGAGGTGTGCGCTGCGATCTTGGCAACGGGCGTCACTTTGCCAAACCACGTGTCACGAGATACTTCCCACAAGCTGGGCCACTCGACGATGTAGTGCAGGATGTTTCCTCGACCATCGCCCACCAGAAGGTCCTCTGTCGACACTGTAGCACTCGAGATGAAGGGGTTTTGTGATGGCCTTTTCGTCACTGATGGCCGCTAGCTGACGCATTCGACCGGAAACGGGTGGTGAAACCAAAACCGCGGAAGCATTTCGTCAATGAACGACAGTAGACCAAAGTAACCGTCCTTGCGTGCAAAGGCCAGAATGGCCTTATTTCCCTCGGCTGAGGAAAATGACAGAGATGTCAGACTCGTATGTCGCTGGTGAGGAGTGCGGTAGACAGGCTGGGGATCATGCCATTCCGACCATCGGTAGACAGTATTTCCCAGAGCCACAGCTAAGCATTGGCAGGTTGGAGAGTATGCCAAGGGCGAGCGGTAGTAGTCATCCTCGAGTCCCGGCGCTTGGAGGACTTTATACGGTGCCGCTGGCAGGCTGCGTTGTAATTTGACAGAGTCTAGCAACGAGCGTAAGCTGAACAAAGCACAAACGACTGTTATCAAAAGTCAACTTACCCGTGGAAGATGCGAGTACCTGGGCTGTATACTTTGGTCTTGGTGCCGGGACCGGACGAACCCTGAAATCGAGAATCTTGGCTGCTTTGTCGACCTCCAAGGCTTCGGCCAGTCTCTCTTCGTGTTGTTGGTGTTCCTCCTCTTCCTTCGGCCGCGGTCCAAAGAACTTTGTTCTGATTCGTCGACAGGGAGTAGACGAGGCCGGAGAAGGGCGCTTGGAAGAAGCTGGGGACAAGACCGACGGTCCAACGACGGAGACGGGGACGACGGGGCGGCAGGTAGGCGGTGTTGGCGGCGGTAGGGGGTTTTGCTTCATGCGGATCTTTTCAGAGAGGGGAGTTCCGTCTCGTCGAGGGATGTAGCGATGCATGTCCTAGGGGGAGATTGTTTCTTAGGTGTGGCGGATGGTGAAGAAGAAGAGGAGGAATGGAAAGGAGGATAAGCAGATCGGCGTGTCATTGTATACACGTAGCTAGCGTCGTCATAGGAAGCTGTGCTGATCGGCTGGGTTGATTTTACCTCAGGTGCGATTGTCTCAAGCTCTTGCCAAAGTTGATAGAAGAGTTGCAGCTTATGGCCCACTCCTGTACGATGAAGTATCACGTGGAAGTCGTACAAAAGTGTAAATTAAGGCAATAAATGGAAATATGAGGGTGAGTATTGAACAGCTAAATAGAAGATAAGTAGCGAAGGCCTAATATTGTCCCGTACTCTGAACGCAATGGAGATGGTGTCACTGTCGATTCACCTTCTCGATGATCAACTTGGAACACGACCTTGACTTCAACGCTGTCTGGTCAAGTCCAGGCCTTTTCTTCTCGAGATGCTTTTCGTCTCCATTACCCAAGGCATGTAGAAGATACATTAAGAGCGTACTTGGCACTCGCCGTTAGATATGGGCGTAGGTATGTATGTGATCAACCTCATTACCGTGGTAAGACAAGAAGTGGAGGTGTAAGACAACTAGCTATTTTGCTAATACCCGTGAAGGAAAGGGGTGAGACGCTGCTTGGGGGGTCTTCTTCACCGGGAGCTTGGGCCGCTGGCTAAATTGACGTACTTTGATGGGCGTGACGGGGTAGTGGGGAATCCCTGCTCTGGCGCGCGCGCCGCCAAGTTCCCGCACCAGCTTCATGCCACCATGCCACCCCCAGAGCTCGCAGCACCTTCAACCCCCGGCCCCCAACCTTGATTGCGGACTTTAATTTCTCTCCGTCCTCCCTGATCGACCTCCCCTTTCCTGTCAAATCGTCCCGCTCTCATAGAGCACCCTTCAGATCCCATGGAAAGCGTAAGCATCACCACCTCCCAGTCCAACGTCTTCCCCCTTCCACCCTTCCCTCCATCCATCAAAACTCCATCCCATCTCCAAACCCCCCAACAACCGCCAAGACATCTACACACGCTGTTCTCTCCCCCAAGCTCACCAGTCCAAAACCGCACAGCACGGCATAGCCCGCACAGCCCGGAAACCACGCACCGAAGCCCAGCTCCAAACCGACCTCGCCAAGATCGCCAACCTCCGCGCCCTCGAAGACGCCCTCCTCCGCGCCTCGCCGCGGCCCGCCGACCCGGCCGACCCGGCGACCCTCGCCCTGACCACGAAGCTCCTGCGCCTGAACCCGGAGCACTACACGGCATGGAACGTCCGCAGGCGCTGCCTAACCTGTGGATCATTATCAAGACCCTCGCCTGGGCCGTCGCCGTCGGCGCCGCCCGCGAGTTCGTCAGCAGCATGCACTCCGCCTCCGTCCTCCGCCGCTGCGTCGCCCTCTTCCTCGACCGCGATCCCGCCAGGCCCCGCGTCCCCACCGGGCCCAGGGAGTGGGAGGAGTGGTACAACAGCTGATGCGCCGCCGGCCGACGATGACAAGGTGGTGGTCGACACCCTCAGGAGCGAGCTCATGTTCACGATCCCGCTCCTGCTGGAGTTCCCAAAGAGCTACTGGATCTGGAAATACCGCTCCTGGCTCCTCCAGCAGGCCATCGATAGACTACCCAGGCCCGTCGCCCGGCGCATATGGGAGGAGGAGCTCGGCCTCGTGTCCAAGATGCTTACCAAGGACCGCCGCAATTTCCACGCCTGGGGCTACCGGCGCCAAGTAGTCGTCATTCTCGAAAGCGCGGCTCTCGACGGCACGAGCCTGGTCGAGGCCGAGTTCGCGTACACGACAAAGATGATCAACACGGACCTGTCCAACTTCTCGGCGTGGCATAACCGGTCGAACCTGATACCCCGCCTGCTAGAGGAGCGCGGCGCCGACAACGAGGCGCGGCAAAAGTTTTTGGAAGATGGTAAGGGCGATTCAATATACAGATATACTCTTATGGAGTTTGCGAGTGAAGCCGGCTAATGGGTAGCAGAACTCGACCTTGTCCGTGAGGCACTAAACGTAGGCCCAGAGGACCAGTCTCTGTGGTTTTACCACCATTTTCTCGTTCAGAACATGACCGAAGAGTCAGACGGGCGGCCCAGAATCGCACCGAGCCTGTCAAGTCCACAAAAGGCATCCTATGTGAGACGCGAAATTGAAGATATCAAGGACCTTTTGGAAGACTACGACGACATCACGTGGATTTACAAGGCGCTGCTGGACTACACGAGGGCGCTGCCGCGCATCGAAGGAAGGGAGCTCAGCGAAGAAGAGACGGAAGAACTACGAACGTGGATGGCCAAGGTGCGTCAGCTGGACCCTATGCGTAACGGGCGTTGGAAGGATCTTGACAAGGAGTGTAATCTGCTCTAGCTTGTACCAAAAACAAGAGATTTCGTGTAATCGTGTGGTCCCAAGCAAGCGGCGGCGTCACGAGGAACGGGTAGACTATCATTAGATATTAGGTACAGCGGCGATTTAGATGTACACGCTGCGGATCTACGTGCTAAAAAGGTAATGACCACTTCCTGGCGAACCATGTGAGCACCACACAGAACGCTCAAGAGGCGCACTTGCCCTTGACAAGGCTGGCGTTCTCTCCGACCAACCCGTCAAAATACGACAGCAGCGTCTCAACGGGGATCAAATCCATCAGTCCCAGCGCCGGGTGGGACGACTTGAGGACCTGGCCGCCCCAGAGAACTCTGACGTACCAGCCGCTCTCAGCCGAGCCAGGCGTGGTGGGTGTGGACGTTGACGCGGGAGGGTTCTTGGCGCCGCCGTCATTGTCGTCGTCCGCCCCGCGCTTCTTGTACAGCTCAAAGACGACCTCGGAGCCCATGCCGGGCCAGACCATGTGGTCGAGCTGCAGGATGGACAGCAGCCGCGAGACGGAGCCGTCGTGCGCGACGTTGTGGAAGTAAATTGTCTCGCTCGTGCCGTCGACGGCGGCGCGCAGGTGGACGGCGAGCTCGGCGACCCAGACGCCCCACGCTGCGACGCTGGCGGCGAGGGAGTCGGGGCTGTCGCGGTAGAGCTGGGAGTATTCCCAGTGGCCCAGGCGGTATGCCGCGTCGGCGAGGTCCTGCGTGACGCAGGTGGTGGAGTTGGCGCCGCCGACGAGCTTGCAGGGGAAGGGCTTGTCGTGGCACTGCCGGGCGGAGAGGTTGTCGTAGTAGTGGTCCAGCGAGGCGTGGAAGCCCTCGTCGTCGGCGGGGACGCCCGAGATGTCGTCGAGGGCGGCGTAGAGCGGAGCGGCGGCGGCGAGGTGCTGGGCCCAGGCGGCGTTGGAGGCGGATTTTATGCGGTTGAAGAGGGCGTAGCCGGCGGGGCAGGGGTACTGCGGCTCGAGGGAGTCGACGCCGGCGGCCTGGATGGTGAGCTGGAGGGAGTCGGTGGCGGCCCACATGCCGTTGACGACCATGCCGGCGACCTGGCTGGTGATTTGGTTGTTGGTGACGCGGTACTTGATCTTGCGGCGCCACTCGGGCGAGTTGACGGCGTCTTGGCCGGGGAGGAAGCCTAGGAGGTCGTGGTAGACGCCGTAGATGTCGGCGCCGTGGACCCAGGAGTCGTCGAGGCCCTGGGCGGTGATTTGGGGGAACTGGCAGGTTCCTATCCAGCCCGCGGGGACGAAGGGGTTGACGGGGGAGACGTAGACCTTCCAGTAGGTCTTTGCCGGCTTGTTGCTGCTGGCAAAGGGCTCGCCGTAGTAGAAGAGTCCTTGGTCGTCGCAGTTCCACTGGTACGGCTCTACGGGGAAGGCGTTTGAGGCGTAGGGTGTACGTTTGTGGTGGCGGTGAACCTTGTGGACAAGTCAGTGATTAAGGAAAGGAGGAGGAAGAGGTAGCAGTGGAAGGGGGTTCGATTCGTTTTACTCACCAATTCCACGTACTTGAGCTCGTACTCATCCGACGGCTTCACATACTCCGTCTTGCGCACATGAGGCATGTTGCACCAGTTGTACTGCCCGTACCTGTCGTCGGGAGTCTTGGAGGTGTCGTAGATGAACCCCCAGACACCCTTGCCGTTGATCACGGCAGTCAGATTATTGACCTCTGTGCGAGAGGGCGCATGCCAAGTCAGACCAACACCAGCGGCTGCATTCACAACGCCGCCAGCGCTGCTGTCAGTCCCAGTCCCGGTGCCAAAGACAGCAAGGCCGGCCAGCAGAGTGGAGGAAGCCTTGGGCGCCATGATATGGGGGAGGGCAAATTGGACAAAGATAAGGAAACTAGCAACGATGACGAGGGACTTCAGCCAGGCGGCCGGTGACCCGATGAGCCTTCTCGGGAAAAAAGTTGAGGAAGCCATCCATACTTATGGGTGGGATGCGGCAAGGCGGCGGGGGTGACCTCTGCTTTCTCCGAGCGAGACTTGATAAGCAAGCAACGCGGGCTCTGCGTGTCTGTAACCCACGTGGCTCCGCAAAAAGTGAGATCCAGCTAGCACCCGAGTTCAAGGATAATGAGCGGGTTGAGGCAAATGGGGGCCAAAGATGAATTAGTTTCCCGTAGTCGTATCGAAACCTCGCCGGGAGGTCGTTGGACAGGTGGGAGGAAGGGTGGGAGGCTGGTGTTGAAGAGATGGAATGGAGTGTGTACGGAGTGCTTCGTCAGGGGGGACGTGCACCACGTGTTCCGCCGACTGGTCGTGAGCTCAATGGAACCAACCCAAGGTGGATCCGTACCTAAGGTAAGGAACCACGTGGGAACCTACCTTGAGCAGACGTAAGGCCTGGGCACGTGCTAAGGTACCTAACCCCCCCCCCCCCCCCCCCCCCTAAGAAAAAGGACAGGGTCCCTACCACCTTACCTAACGGGTACCTTGGAACGGTACGGAGTACCTTAGCTTGAGCGATTGGCCCCACTCCGACCCGAACCCGTTATTTCGGCGCCGGGACCAGCCTAGGCGGTGTGGATCCTTCAATCAACCGGCACTTGACCTCATACCATGCTGCTCCCGCACACCTCCCCTCGTCGTCACCCTACACTCACCTTGAGTTAAGCAGGCAGGATCACGGTTTTCCTCACCCTTGTTTCCATGTTAGCATCATTGACGGAAAATACTGAAAAAGGTAACGAAGATAAACATGTTTCGAATCTCAGATATCCTTCATCTAGTACAGGCCATAAGCAACGCAATCTATCCTGTTTTCCCATCACAGAAAGCTCCTCTCCCAATCCAGCCATTATTCCGCAAAAGTATCCAGTGGGGTCTTCTCTCGTGCCTCCGCAAGGAATCCAGCCAGTGGGCCTTCGAAATCCTCGCCCTTGTGCGGTCTGACGAGCGTCACCTCAACTGTCTCGCCGACACCCTTGTACCACAGATCGGCGGCTGTCGAATCGCTGCTGATGTCCATGTCGCGAAAGACAAGGAGCCCAGCCCATGGTATCTTGTTGGCAGGTGTGGTACTTTCGACCAGGCTCTACAAACGGCGGTGTCCATCCCGGCTCGGACGCATCGGGATGTTGCATCAGCCACCGACTTTGACCTCTTCCAGGATATGGCCGTGATGAAGCGAGACGGTACATCCAGAGTCCAGAGAAGGAGGTGCATTTGGTCCCATGTATATTGGTGTTGTCAATGATGAACCTGCTTACAACACTCATATCGGCTCCCATTTGTCAATTTTCCCACAAAAGTATAGCCAGAAGTTTGGGCTCGGATTCATAGAGAACGAAAAGAGGGTTAGAAATATATGTCATCAAGGCATTCATTCTGTGACCTCCCAGTGAGGCTGATGTAATGTCTTTGATTTTGTTTCCAGCGTCCAACTGTTGATGCCTGTGTGTTTGGCTCATTTCCCTGATGCAGATGAAATTGGTCCACAAAATTCCTTCTGTATGCAGAACTTGAATGCAGATTCCCACCAATCTACGGAAGGCAGAATACGATACTCTTGATGCCATTCTTCTTCAAGACGTATGTTACCAGAACACATGTCATAATGTGATGCACACAGTGAAATGAACTCTACCTGGTGTTTGATGTAGCACTGGGTACACATTGCGACAAACAGGAGGAATTCACCATGATCTTGCGGGCCAACTCTCCATACGAATCTAAGCCTTTCACCCAGCCTAAGTCTTCTGCAAAGTTGAAATCCAAGGAGGAATATGAGCTACTGCGTCACGACCCGTTACGGAGCTGCCATCCTATGTTCTCACAAGTTCCCTTGTTACAGAGTTAACTGGGTCTAAGGCTGCTGAAAGGACGTTCCTGGAAGATTCCGTCTTGAAAGTATTCCGGTTCGACAGTGTTCACTCGTACGGAACTCAATTGCTGCAGCCTAATATCTTTGTGATGCATGGAAGAGCTCTCGTTGCAGTAGGATAAGGCAGTGGAACAAAGCCTCCAATTCCCTGCACCAAGGTGATCAATGCGGTGAAACATCAAATCATGGGGTACCTGGAGTGTTTTGGAAGAAGAGCCTCTGTTTAAGCCTACGAAAAAGTTGAGCCGCTGTGAAGAAAGAGATGGAAGCAAATTCACCTTCGTTGCCTGAGGTAGGCCTGTTGTGTGATTGAGTTTTGTTCGTCTTTGGTTGATTGATTCGGAGATGGAAACCTTCCTCGTCGTGCTTGTGCAACCTCTGTGGTGACTTTCCGCCAGGTACATCTTCCCCGACATGAAAAGCCGAGCTTCGCCACTTCGACCCCCACCGATATATCCTCAAGGATGAGCAAGTTCAACTTGAGGTGCTGGAACGCTTTTCAATGAGCCCCGGACCTCAAGTCTTCCGTTGCAAAATCATTGCGTCGCCCAAGTACGAGGATAAAGATAATCGCGAGAAGGTCCCCGACCCACGGACCCAAGTCGTGGCCAAAGTCTTTGACCACAAGCTCTGGCCGAAATAAAACGGCACGCCGATCGACAACATTGAACTCAATGAAGGCCTTCTCAGCCGAGAGAGTTGGGCTTACAAGCATCTCTACCAGAAGAACTTGACCGGCCCGCCGAACATCACTGCCCAGTACTATGGCACTTGGGCCGTCAAGTTCCCCGCCGGCAAGACTCCCGAAGGGCGCGACCAGTACAAGACCGTGGCTCTCATCCTCATGGAGTACATTGACGGCTACTCCATCGATGATCTCTGCAATCGAGATGAGTACGGTGATCTCGTCCCGGACGATGAGTTGCCGTAAGAATTCCACCAATCCGATGCGGGACGTCCAGTGCTTCTGGATATCAATCACGACACGCGGATGGAGATTCTCAGGCAGCTAGCTTATCAACGGCGCCGTCAAGCACATGCACAAGGGGGTCATGGACGGCGATTTCGCACCTCGCCATGTATACATCACAATGCGAGACGGAACAGGTGATCTCGAAAAGCCTCGGACAGTTCTGTTCGATCTCAGTCGCGCACGACTTTGGTCAATGACCAAGTACATGCAACAGCCCGCCGATAGCATTCACTGCTACGAGCTCGTTCCGAATACAATTCATCCCTCCGAGGTCTGCAGCGCCCCCGCGCTAAGCGACTTCGCCGGATGGTATCCCCAAGAGTGGCTCAACGAGGCTATCGAGGGAGACATAAGGGGAGGACGCTTTCGGCCCTTTGCAGGAGGGACCAGATTACTCCATCCACCAAACCGTGGATAGGGCTATCGCCGAGAGAGATAGAGAGGAGGCCTTGAGCAAGATGAAGGCGGCGATCATCGAGGGTGACTTTCACGTGCCGTCCTACCCACCCTTCTACCCGGCAGCCGCTACTTTGGAGATCCCGCGTTTCGGCTCCCTCAACATTTCACGGGAATACAATCCCGCCCATGTCGGCGAGGCATCGGTGTGGGAGTCACCGAGGAACTTTGACTCACCCCTCCGCGTCGATATCCCCCCGCCTGTCCTCCAGCACGAGTCTGGTGTGAGTTCGACGAGTGACCATTGGAACCAAGGCGGCAATGCAGGTGAGGCGTCTAACTCACACACACACCACGATCAGCCGGCCTTGAAGGGCGACCAGGCTTTTGGCAAGCAAGAGACACCGAAGCCTAACAACAAGAACAAGAAGAAGGAAAGACGGGGTTGAGTCTCTCCCCCTCTTCTCTCACTCTGTCTCTCACACTCTCTCACTCTTACTATCTCTCTATCGTCGCATCGGAGAAGTCGACCTTGGTTATTTGCCAACCGCGGTGGGTGGTCCGGGGATGCTCCGACTTGAGCCGGGAGGGGCTCGCTCGCCTTTTTTCTTTTGGCGTTGGGAACACGAGAACATTTGGGACATTGGATTTGGGATATCACGAGGAGACTGGGTTACGGGGATATGGGAAAATTTGGCGTGGGCAGTCTGGAGTTTCTAGATCTCTTTTGTATGTGTGTTTTGGGTTTTTCCTTTTGCAACTGGTCTACCTACCTGGGAGATGTTCCCCCTTCCTTCCAACCGGGGGTTATCTACTGAGGAAGACACTGCAGTTGTGAGGGAAGTCTGCATCTCAACGTTTGGAGGGGAAACGAGAAAATTAGACAAGGAATAGCAACAAAAGTCCTTTGAGTTTGGTTCGTCGGGCATTTCCATTGTGATGCCCCTCTCTCGTGAACAACATTCTCTGGCCATGTTCTCCCTAGGATACGACAAACCGTAACTTGCAAACGGATCTAGAAAAGCCGGCAAAACCAACCAGGCAAACGGCAGACGAATGAACCATCTTGGGACGTGCGATGAGTTGCCTGCCTAGATTCTACTTGACACAGCCCCATCAATCCCCTCCTCCCAGATTTTCAAACCGTTATGAGACTTCTAGCACCCGTTGCAATCTAGCATCTTCTTTATACACGACTCTATCCAAGACTCTACCAAAGACTCCAAGACTCTACCCATCAAAAGCCAAAGTCTCTTACCCTTCCCTCCATCATCGTACAAACGTCAAAGAAAATACCATCAAGAAAAGAACAAAAAACTCTCTTCTCACCTCCCATCTTAACCCCTCCCCTACTTACGCCCTCCTCTCCCACGCAGCAACAACGGCACCCACAATCTCCCCCCCTTGGTAATGGCAATCTCGTGCCCGCCCCCGAGAACAACGACCTCGACCGCGTCCTCCCCGAGCACCCGCTCCGCATCCCACACCGTCTCCCCAAGCACGACGATGTCGTCATCCTCCCCGAGCAGGAACAGCACCCGCCCCTTTCTCAGCCCGGGCTCCGATGACCACCCCCTCCCATCATCACCGCCATCACCGCCATCACCGCCATCACCGCCATCACCACAGCTACTCCGCCTCGCCTCCAGCACCTCCGCCAGAACCCTCCACTCCTCGTCCCCGCGATCGTAAATCGGCGCGTGCCGGATCGTCGACATGTAACTCGTCACGAACCCGGGATGCCTCGCGAGCTGCCACCCCACCACCTCCCCGATCCGTCCCCCGCCCACGAGCCTAAGCTCATCCCACTCCTCCTTCTCCTCCTCCTTCTTCTCCCCGTCCTCCTCCTCATCATCATCATCAACAGTCTCCTTCTCGGGTACATCACCCCCGCCGCCGCCGCCGCTCCCAACTCCAACCGCAGCAGGCCTCAACCTTCGCCCAACAAACCACCTCCTCACGCCCTCCGGGATCCAACCCGAAGTATACAGCACCCGGCTCCGCCACCCAACATGCGCAGCGGAGCGGACCAACCCGCCCGGCGCGACGAGGTTAAGCGACCTGACGAGGTGCGGGTGCGTCGAAGCGAAGGCGGCGGCGACGGCGCCGCCGAGGGAGTAGCCCAGCAGGTGGAAGGCGTCGTTGCCGGTCCAGCCTGGGGAGGGGGACGAGGCGAGCGCGAGGAGGATCTGGGTGGTGTAGAGGCGGGCGTCGTGGGGGAGGTCGAGGGGCGCGTCGGAGTAGCCGCGGCCGAAGAAGTCTGGGTTGTCGTGTTAGTTAGGGGTGATTTTTTTTTGGAAGGGTGAGATATGGGGGGAAGAGAAAGAGATGAGGGACTGTGTGTGGTGTGTGGTGTGTGGTGTGCAGTGTGTGGTATGTGATGTGATGTATGAGATGAGTGGTTTGCTTCGAGAGTGAAGCCCAGGATGCCGTGATTATTCACACGCTGGACAATGTTCTTCACATCTCACATTCCGGATATCACGGCCTCACACATCCCCATCGTCTCACACCCCCTCACACCCCCTCACTATCATCATCACCATCAGCATCATCTAAAAAAAAAAAAAAAAAAACTCACCAAAAGTCATAACCCTCCAACCCCTCTCCACAAACTCCCCAGCAATACCCCCCAACGCAAGACAAGGCGTCCCAATCCCATGCAGCAAGAGAACCCTCTCCTCCGCCTCCTCCGGTCCAAACTCATACACCCGCAGATTCCCGTACGCCGTCGCAACGTCCCGCGTGCCGGGGAACACGTCGGGCGGGTACGGCAGCTGCACCCGCTCGTCGTCACAGCCCGGGCCCAGCGTCGTCCATTTCGGAGAGCGGGCCGTCTTGCGGCCGTCCCTTGCCGGACGCGGGGCCGGGAGGGCGGCGGTGGTGGTGCTGCGGGAGACGAGGATGAGTAGGGTGGTGGCGGCGGCGGCGGTCGCTGCTGCTAGGCCTAGGCCAAGGCCTACCGGCATGCGTGGGAGGTGCCTCTCCAGCAAGTCATCCCTCATTGTGCGATGCGTGTCTCTCTCTCCTCATGGGCTTTTAGGGGGGGAGAGATTTTCTGGAATCTTTCGGACCAATCACTTGGTGGTAAGGATGTTTGTGCAACCGTCCGGGCGGGCTGCGAGGCTTGGTGGGTTGCGGTTGCGGTTCACAAGGTTGGTATAGGATGCGGGAGGGATTTCACATGATGGATTGTATCCGCGGGTATGGGATGCGCGGTGGGCGGGTGCTGCGCCGGGGTGGGACGGAAGCCCCGTCACCGAACGGAGGTCGGGTAGAGGAGGGCAACACCGTACGGTAGATACGCATGCAACGCGGGGGGGAGGGATATGACAATCGCTCGAGTGTCGTGAGGTTTGGGTTCCCGACGGTGGATTACCGTCGTCACTTGATCGATTTCTGAAAATTACCGAGCCATGAGCATGATGCGTTCCCCTGAACAGAGAGGCATCCCATATTCCCTAGACTCGTCGTCGGCGTCGCCGCCAGGTTCTGCGCCCCTCCGAGAGGGGTGACGTCGCAAAGTAGCCGGCTCTCTCCTTCGATTCCCCATGGGCATGGTATGGGGCCTTGGCTATGGGGCGGGGGTCCTCGACTGTTTCTGTTTAGTGGGAATCTGAACAATGCCATTCACTCGGGATCCGGAGACCCTACCTTCGTCCTCGACGTATGCCGGGTAAGGTAACGAATGGGGTGGGAGGGGGGTGAAGAACAGCGCATACAGCGGAAAGAATGAAGACTTCCTTTCTCTGCCCTACCGCAGCATGTCGACGAGTCCCGACAGCGAACCATCAGAGTCCAAAGACACCGCCGCAAACTGCAGCGTCTCGTTGCATCCGCGCCGGAGATGCATCGGATGGAAGCGGAGCGGGATTCACTCGCCAGCAAAGCCCATCCTCGACCCAAGCAAGCAGGCCAGCCAGTTAGGTAGTCAGTCACCTCACGCTCATGTCCGTACCTACTGGTAGGCTGAACCAGCAGACCGCCAAGCAAGCACTGTGCCGTTTGACAGATTGCCCCACCAACCACTACCACCACCGCTGTGCTGGAGGTGGCATGGCATGGCAGCCATGCCATGCACCACCAGTGAGTGCCGCCGGCATGCTAGGTAGAGGCGTCGGTTTGGCTGGTTGAATGCTGTTCCGACCCTGTCAGCGTCGCTGGCGACGCCGAACCGTTCGCAATCTTGCTCCTCCTTATTTGCTTTTTTCGTTGCTCTACCGTCGATGCAGGAAGCCCTCCCTATATGGCGCAAGACAGGTGGTGTACGGATACATGCCGTGGAGGTGGCTCAGCTGGTAGCTTGCCGTCCTTTGCCTTGCCAACCCAAGGTAAGCTTTAGCTCCCAGCTCTCGTCTTCATGCTTCTCCAACCCCCCAGAGGACAAAGGAGGGGGAGGGGAAGATGGGAACGGTGAGAGAGTGGCGGCGAGGTGGTCGGAGCGTCCCCCCACTGTGAGCTGTGAGACGGCAGACGTGGTGTAGAACCCGGGGAACGAGGTGAGGTGGTGAGACAGGCGAGAGGAATAATCCGCTGTCTGGATCGAGCCTGGCCCAACCTTGAATGCCAAGATGGCGGTGTGGCAGTGAAGAAGGGGCGTTTCCATGTCTTCCCATGCCCCCCTCAACCTTGTCGGTCTGCCGTCCGTGTGTCTGACTTTCCCAGTCCTCCCTTGCCCATGGCCTGCCAGATCCTATTCACCGAGAAAGCAAATCCGTGAGATCTCGTGGGGTGGGTGAGTCGAGCAACGTCAGTTGTCAACTCAAAGAGCAACAACGATCCTCAGTCAGCTGCCACATATAGACGCAAACATGCCGTCCGCCGCCATGCACATCGCACACTTGTTGTTTCACGCGGGCGTTGATATGGTAGGGTTTGAAGGTTAGCGGGAGATTGATTGGTGATGGCACGACTGGTGAGGCTGGAAGGTTGGTCCAGAGGCTGGGAGACCAAAAGAAGCGAAAGAAGGTTGCCCAACCGGCCATCGAATCCTTCCTTCCAGAGGAGCTTCGGCGCTGGTAGGTGTAGAGCATCGAGCGTGGATTGGATGCGTCAACAGGAACTGTGTGACAGCGAAGGTCGAACTCAATGGCGGAATCCCCACACATCCATCTTTCTTTTCTTGATGTCTAGACCCTAGCAACCTGGCAAATGTTGGCTTGCGTATCTAGCTGCAGGTATTGTGCTGTGAGCTCGTTCGCAGAGAAAAACAAGAGCCTGGCAGGAAGGATATCGAAGATGAGTGTCAATCCTGCCCCGATGTGGAACAAGCCCTGGAGAATGAAAGGGTATGCCGCTCCTAGGGGAACTGCAGTCTGCTGAAAGGGTCCTCGGCCTCTCTGCACTGCGGGCAAGCATCCAAGAAGTGTCCGTAGCGTAGAGAGCCGACTGGGCGACTAAAATAGCAGCCTCCGTTCCATGCGCGGGAATAGGTAGGGGCACACTAGGCATAACTGGATGGCATGGAAACGGTGGGCAAACGGAATAATTGTCCGTTACGTCGTTGAGAAGAGCCCCCGGCCTTGTACCCGTACCAGTGCTGTGACTGTCGCGGCGTTGCCAAAGGACAGAGAGCGAGCGGGCGGGATGACGGTTGATCGGAGACTGGGTGGACTGACTGGTTGACCGGGCTGACTGTCGAGGTGACGGACTGGACGTGGGGTGACAAGGCGATGGGAATGCCATTCTGCCCCCTTTCGTCACTCGGATTCCCCTATGAGCTCCACTGTAGAGATCACGAAGCCATCGTCAGGTGTCTCAAGATGGTTTCCCATCTCCCATGCCCCCCTCTCTCAAGACCCCAGGGCCCCAGCCGTGCCCTGCCCCGATTCACCTCCACTGGCAGATTGGCCTCCGCAGCAGGGGCGACGTGCCAGCTTCAGCCTTCAGCGCTTCTGCCTTCACAGCCATCGGAGGGACAAGGGAGCTGTACTGTGCCACAATTGGGGAGGAGACTCAGAGACCCCCAGGGACCAGAGACAGTTCCCAGGGTCTGCCCAGGGCGCTGCTGGCGTGGTCGCGCAAGAGGCCCGTTCGCTTCATGCAGTGCTGGTGCAAGGTCGGGTACCACAGCAAATCCCACGCTTCGCCGTCGAAGCTGTGGAACGTATGGTCCCAGTCGAGAGTTGGTCTAGAAGGCGTTTGGCGCCCACCGCCGCAGCGGGAAGCTGTTATCGATGGCGATAGAGTTGCTCCCATACGTGTGGCATGTCGAAGCTTACCTTAATCTCGACCTGGCACCTCCGCAGCAGCACCAGCAGCAGCAGTCCATCGGCCGGCAGTCGGAAGATTTGACGGATCATGAGCATGGTATCCGTACAGAGCATCTGTACGCATGCACGGCACGGAAAGTTGTTGTATGACTGAAGCCGAGAACCAAGAAATGCTAGAATGGGAAGGGAAAAGAAAAAAGAAAAAGGCATGGATCGATAAACAAGTCTGAGGCGTCCATCATGGCCTGTTCATGGTTTGGCCACTAACGGATGATGCTGGGGTGAGGGAGAGGGGGAGGGGCAGAGAGTGACGAGTGACGATATGGGGCGAGAAACCTTCACTGAGATCTGAGTGAGTGTGTGAGTGTGTGAGTGGGTGAGTGAGTGTGACGGTGAGATCGGTCAGTTACGGACTGGCAAACGTCTGCCCCACTGTTAGTGATGCGCGAGTGCCACTTTGTGGAAAAGTTGGTCATCCAGATGGAAGGCAAAGAGAACCTGGAAGGTGCTGACTGGCCCAGTACGTACCGATGGTTTCCCTGTATTTGGGCAGTTGCGGTGTGCCCTGTGTGAGAAATGGAAAGTGCGAAGCATGGTAGCTTCCACGGCAGGTGGGCTGCAGTCTGCGGATGTGGCAGTCGCACACTGTGGACTACATGACTTGATGCCTAAATTGTCAGGTCCACAAAAGCGACATTCGGGATGCGGTCTGTCGCTTGATTCGCCTCCTCCAAGCGTGCCAGCCGCCACGTTTCCGAATCCAGGCCAGAAGGTCAAGGGCCCATGGTCATTTCTCGGTTATTATTTTTCTTTTGCACTAGACCAGGGGTCTAGCGACCAGTCATAGCGGCACCGGGTTCCACCCAGTGTCTGCATGTCACTGGCTTACAGCCCTGTGTGTGTGTGTGTGTGTGCACGGGTGCGTGTGTGTGTCTTCTCTCTGGGCTGTAGGGTAAGGTATCTACACAGGAGACAAGGTAGGCACGAATACTTAGGTAGGTTCCTTCCATGCCTTTAGCAGAGAGCAGAGAGCCACTACCTCGCTGTCCATCATGCAGTCCGGGGCTCTAACCTCCTGCAGCAGTGCGCAGCACCATTCATGTGTACGTACCCAATGAGAGTGGAGGATCTTTGGGGCCTTGGGCAATATCTCTGGCACTCTGCCACATCACAGTGTGGGTGGCGGACAGTGTGAGCAGCCGATGACAATGTTTGGGTCGTGGCTGGCAATCCCACGCTGAGAGGTACGTATCCGTAACCTGACCCTTCCCGAATCCCCCGCCCACATCCTATGTACGACCCTTCACTGGCTGCTCGATCGAAGCCTCGACAATCCATTTGTCTTGCTGCCGCTGTGCAGTTGTGCAGACTTCAGAGTGCCGGTGGTACCATGGACCGACTGTGGTGCGTTGCACTGTTCCAGCTGCAGCTCGTCCTCCGCCGTTCAGTCTGCCCACCGCCCAGTGCACACAATGCATCACGCAGTCCCGTCCGTTCCAATGTGTTCCTCCTCTTCTTCTTCCCCATCTTCAGTTGGCTGAGGGCTCTCCTCCCCCCCCCCCCCCCCCCCCAAAGGTTGGGATTCGGCCGGACCAGGGCCACCCAGCAGAGAGGGTCGGGAGGGTTTCACTTTGGACTGAAGCAGACAGGCGGGCGCACTCGACAGTCGACCTTCGATACTCTGATCGGATACACAATGTGGGCGAGCGGACGACATGAAGCCAGCCGAGTAGGAGGAACCTGGGAGGCAGACCTCCTATCGTTGGATTCCCCGTACGGTGTCTATTGCAGCATGGGAAAAGGGAAACACTAGGCTGCGTTTCTCGTGTTTCTGAACATCAGATTGCGCCAGTTTAATGCCCCTGTGGTAGCAGTAGAGCATGCGATAGATCAGAGAGCTACCACCGACAAGACGATGCCATCGTGCGTGCATCCCAAAGGTCTCTCTCTCACTCTTCATCAGACATTGCACCGCGTCAGCCCAAAGCATCCTGTCAAGTTTGCCGAACTTTGGACAGGACCGCCTCATGGAATAACAATAACAACAATAACCACCCGCCATCGAGGGTTCTTTAGCTTCGCCTGGAATTCCGGACGAGGTCGGAGAGTCCTTGAGTGCGTAAGGCTTTGCGGATAAGGGGAGGGATGAAGAAGGAAAAAGGGACGCCGAAGCGCACGAGCGAAGACTGGACGAGAGCAAGACACACGCCGTTGGTCGGACCACGGCCAGGACCGAGAGTAGGTAAGACAAGCCGCAAGACCGCAAGAGAGGCAAAAGAGAGTGGTCAGTTGATCACAAAAAGGAGAGACATCTCGATACAGCCTGGGGTGAGGCACCATGGCATTCACCCCGGGGGGGGGGCATAGAGTGAAGAGAGACATCAAGGCGACACTGCTGTATACTCGACGATTCGACAGTGACAGACTGACAGACTACAGTGGCAGGGAGAGAAGGGGAGACGGTGGACGGTTCAAGATGGGAGGGAGGAGTGCTGTGCCCCCCCTCATCCACCACCATCCGTATCATGTCTCATCTCTAATCTCGCTCTGTTCTCTCGTACTCCGTACCGCAGCAATATTGAATGTGCTCCTGGTTGATTCCCCATCAATCACCGCTCACACTGGGGTTCTGGAATGACAGGTGTGGGCAGCCAATCTCTCCCATGGCCGCAAGCGGTGCCAGAATGGTAAACAAGAACAAGCGGCTGTCGCCGGCGACTCTCCGACTCAGGGGGCTTTTTGGGGGAGGGGGATTTCCCTCGCGGCTGTCAGCACTGTGAAGGGCTATGATTGAAGAAAAACAAGGCCCACAGTGCGTCCTGCAACGGGCAGACTCGGTACCTGCATGCCACGCCTCAGCTTGCCCTGCGTCCATGTTCCGACGTGGAATGCCTAAGATGGGGGGATGGGAAAGAGGAAGGGGAGGGATGCAGGTCTGCCGAGACTGACGGTGAGATGTGGTACGGATACCTACCAACGTGCGAAACTGAGAAGGGTATTGGAGTGAGAGTGAGAATGAGAATGAGACCGAAAGTGAAAGTGAAGATGAGAGAGAGAACGTGGGAGGACGATACTCTCTGTGATCTCGCCAGCCATACAGACCCCCCAGTGCATCCGCTACAATTGCATTGCAGCATTCACTGTCGAACACCCTCCGACCAGGTTTACCCAGGCTTGCCGGGTACACATAACTCTTCGCTTCCCACATCTTGCCTTGCCTTCCCGCCCGCTGCGCAGTCACCTTACGGTTAGGTTCAGTTCAACATCCAACCCTGGTGTACCGTGTGCCTCCGGTCTCATTCACTCACTCTATCGCTCACTCACTCACTCACTCATTCATCGTCTCCCCATCCAAATACGGCCAGCCCATGCCCCACCCCGACAATGTACTGTCCGCCGCACTGGTAGGGTTGACGGCAGCCGGCGCCACGCCCCAAATTTACACCAGCCCACTAGGCCGCGCTAGTCCCTGGTCGCTATAGTCTGAGATCTGCCAGCCAATAGAAACAGGGTGGCGAACTCGCATATGGCGTCAAAGAGTGGACCCACAGTGTTTGTCAAAACAACACTGTCTTCTGATCATCTCCCATTGGGCAACCTGTGGGTCCACCGCCGCCCCCCCTTCCCTCCCAGTGTCCTTTCCTTGCCCTCCGTGCCCTCGTCGCTCCTCTCGCCTACCCGCTCACCTTTCCACCGTCCTCCCACCCTCCCACCATCCTGCTCGAACCAACAAAACCATCGCTTTCTCCGGATTCCTCCCTCCCGATACTTTTCAACATCTCTCTCCCCCCTCTTTCCAGACGTACCTTTTCTCCCACCGCATCTTCAAATCTCGAAACCACAAAACGCTTGTAAACGATCATACATACCAAACCGACCTAAAAGAAAAAGCATTGCTTTCTTCCTCTCTTCTACCTTGAACCTATTCATCGCGCACCCTTTTTTCCACTCGCACAACGTCGACTCGGCAGGTTTCATTGTTTGTGTTTCAAACTGCAATAATACCGCACAGCTCGGCTCGCCCACATAAGACCATCCGCACACCCGCCACACTGCCTCCCAACCAACAAAAAACGGCACCCTTTCTCCGACCTCCCACCACGATATCACTACGGCATCTACCTCGGAAACATTCATAGATAATGTCTTCATACTACCAGTTTAACCACCACCAGGCGCATCCCACCCCTGCCGTCCCCGGTGCCTCCCACAACCACCATGGCGGCCGGAATCGCAGAGCGCCCCGGCTTTCTGTTTCCCAGAACCAGCACAAGCAGTTCCGTGGCGTCCGAAGCATGAAGGAGTTGAACGATTCCACCACCCTCAACCTTTTCCGCTCAAAGTTTGAGGCCGTACGCTCGTTCGACCTCGAAGACGACATGGAATTCTGCCCTGGCCTGTTGACCGACAGCGACGTAAGTATCTCGGAGCCTTGGATCTGTCTTTCATGATCCGGTGACTAATCCTGGTCGCCGCTGCAGATGAACTCCATCAGCTCTTCTGAGCGTTCTTCCCTGGCCAGCAACTCTCCTGAGTCCTCTCCGACGCAGCAACCCCAGACCGTCGCCCCTGGGTTCTCCCTCAACTCTTCTTCTCCCGCCTTCATCCCTCCCGCGTACCAGCAGTCTAGCCTGAAGCTTCACCAGCCTGCGGCTACCCGCGCCCGCAATGCCATTCCCATCGTCAACCCGGCCACCGGCATCACCATGTCGAGCCCGCCGCCCTCGGTTTCCCCCGCCAGGATGCAGCAGGGCATGGGTCGCAGATGGTAAGGAGTTGATCCCGCTCTCGTGACAGAGGGCTTGGGGTTGCACTCCTTGCCGTCTGTGCCGATGCATGCTGATGTGTAAAATCTTGCTCATTCGGCTTGTTTACACCGGCCATCTTGGCGGGCACCGAAAAGAAAAAGAAGACCAAAAATGGCAATGGCATCGATGATTTTCTTCCTTGCGGGCTGGGTAACCTCAAGGTAATGGCTAGACTGCCGGCGTGGTCTGGTCATCTGTTGGCTCAAACGACATTCCCCTACTGTACAAACAACCTCAACGACATACCCTGTTTAACCGACAAAATCCCTTCGAGGCTTTTTCAACGGCGCGGAATGAGAAGTTAATCGATACCATTTTTCCTTTTTTTGGGTACTTTCGACTACAAAAAAAACTCGACAAAAATCTTTCGGTGTCCTCACCTCGCAAGATGAGGTTGGACTTGCACGAATGGCGTTTTCCACACGGATGGTTTTTCATTTTCACGACATGCATCGGTGTGAATCACACCACGGCGGAGTTCTCGGATATAAATAATTCTCGGCATCTTTTTTCACGGACAGCGGGACGACTTTTTTGTTTTCCAAGATGATTCAAAATTTCTGTTGCTCATCATGGTGCTCGACGGGTCACGAAGTCATTCCGGAAAAGATTATCTCGACATATAGAATGAGTGTCTTTTCAGCAACTTATTCGGAGCGGGGGGGGGCAACAGGTGTTTCTGTTATGGGCTCACATGGGAAATATCAAATGGGTGGTGGCGGGCAAAGACATGCGTTGCTATTGTTTTGCGGCAAATCTCCAAAGCTTGGAAACGGTACCGGGAAATACCTTTTTGGGAAAGGTGGAGTTGGTCATGAATTTTGGGTGCGGCCTGCTGGCGAACCCCTGCATTGTTACCTGTTTTGGTTGAGCGATGCGGACGGGGATCGCGCAGTCCTTTGTTGTTTTCTTGCGCCTCTTCTCTCATTTCATTATTCGAGGATGGACTATTCATACTACTATTGCTCGATATTCCGGCGGGGCAGGTCTAGCATCTCGCGACACTGGAAACGGTTGGTGGTGGTGGAGTCACCTTGTCTGGGCACTTTCGCGAGCATCTCGGAAGAGTTGTGTGTTTCTGGATAGCGGTCTGAGACGATAAATGGCTCTGGTAGTTTTTGGGTCGGAGAGCGGGATACCTTTTGGGGTTGTACAGGAAACGCTCAAGATGCGAATGGTGTTGAATGGGATTAGACCAAGCTGTCCGATCTTGTGGCGCGAAGCCAGCAAGGCGCAATGCAATATACGATATGTTCATCAAATGCTGTTCATCAAGAGTGACTCAAACTGTCTGTAAACCTTCAAAGTAGGTGAACCACTTGTCGATGCCGATATCGGTTTCCAGATCCCAGCAAGACAGATGGTTGACGAATGGCCAAATACCATCAATAGGATTTGACGTTTCGTCCAGGTAGCTTTCCACCCTTTGGAATAAGGAGATGACTGCATTCTTCCCCAGTCTCTTCATGCTTACTGCATATTTCCCCTGAACCGTGACAATGCTGATATATTGCAGGATATCACAAGAAGGCTGCTATCGAGATGCGTGAGACCGCGGGGGGGGTAATCGGACATAGATCCCCGACCCGCACTTCCCTCGAACCCCCTTTGTTCGCCGAGAGTACGTATGATGGAGGGGGAGAGGTGGGGGGTTTTAGCTTGAGGTGAGAGCTGAGCTCGGTAACAGCGAAGGAGGGTTTGAAAGGTCGGGTTATTTATGGTGTCAGCAAGGGCAAGAAGTTGAACCTGAAGGATCTAGGTAGAGCACGCAGTAGAGCTTGGTATGACTTGGAGGACTGTCTGTTTGTTTATGGGTTTTCCCCTTCTTATTGTACGCAGTATGGGGAATGGGTTTCTGTAGGCGCTGGTATCTCTGTACATAGTAGAGAGCGGTTAGGTAAGGGGGGGGGGGGATGAATTGGGTAGGTAATACCCCGTATTCACTTTTGCTTTCTGTAAGGTATCCGGGAGCACTTTCTGTCTTGGTAAGGTGCAGTGTGCCTGGTGCCTGGTGCGGTGACCTGGGGTCGCGGCCATGGCTGGCTTCGTTTTGAGGGGACCTGAGGTGCCCTTGCTTACCCGCCGCTTGAGTTTTCTGCATGTTGCCGCGAGGGGGTTGAATGCTGCAGGTAGGCGATGAAGGTAACCCGCTGCTTGGTGCTTCCTGATTGTTTCCATCTATCCATGTGGTCATTGATATCATTACTCTTGTTGGCTGCTTGATTTCTCCCAGCGACTTTACTATGGCGTGTACAATTACGATGAGCATCATCATGGTCCGGAGAGGGGGAGAGGTCATGGTCACGTGACGTGCTCAGTAATGAGAGAGAGAGAGAGAGAGAGAGAGAGAGAGAGAGGTGTGGGGAAGCCAATGATGACGATGTAGCTAGGCAGCAAAGAAGCACGGGAGTTAAAAGCCGTCATTATTGGTCCGCGGTAGGGTCTATGCCAGGGGTAAGAAGCAGTAAGACTAAGTATTTAGCCAGACTGCTGATGGAGAGGCTGAAGAGAGAAGCGATGGTCCAAATCCAAGCAATGTTCTGACTGAAGTTCGAAGCGATGACGACGGTCTCTCCAGGGCGGCGCTGAGCGACGATGATGGCCCATTGTTGATGATGTGACTGTGGTGGGCTTGCAAATGGTCGACAGGCAGTTGGTCAATACCCCCGCTGTCCTTCCAAACGGGCAATTTGCGGGGACGTAGCAATGCTTCCAGCCATTCGGGTTGCTGGCTGCTGCAACCAGCTGGGGAAGGAAGGGGAAAAAGCTCGGTCCTGAGGAAAATGTCACTATTGGAAGGAGAGCTGTGAATAGTGACGTCACCGCATGCTTTGCGGCTGCTTCTCGTCTAGTTAGGTAGGTAACCTAGGTTATTGCTACCTTATGCTCTAGGTACATCTATCTATTCCTTCTAGAGCTCCTTGCCGAGTCTGTCGTGATCATACTTGCCTTCTTTTTAATACCTCATCGAAACTTGATTCTATTCCGTTCAATTGAATCTGCCTGCAACGCAATACGATAATTCAAACATCAGATACCCTCCTCCTCTACTCCTTACCACAGACTCAAACCAAATACGCAACAATGGCATCTCGCATCGCTCTATCAGCTCGCCCTCTTGCCCGTGGCGCTTTTGTCGTCGGAAGGCAGACTGCTTTTCTCGGTCGGGGTATCTCTACGACGAGGACACAGGGCCTGAAGGAGTCTTCTGGACGTGAGTTTTATCCCTGTTTTCTTCCTACTTGGTTCCCTCGCTCCCCTCGGTGGAAGGATGCATGGCAATTGAGCTTGAAGCATTCACAAGTGATGTCGCAAGTTTGATGATGCTGTCATTGCGAACCTCCCTCAACCTATGACGAGTTACACAACCCGATGCTTTGGCGAAAATAACTGACAAGTATTTTCCTTCAAAGACACCGACGGCGAGACGCACGAGAAGCACAAGCAAGATTCTCTCTCCAAGCAGAAGCAGGGCAAGGGCCACTGGAAGCCTGAGCTCGCTTCTGACAGCGAGGAGGCTATCAAGGCGGATCGTGACGAGAGCATTGACCCCAAGAAGTTGCAGGAGAAGACGGCTGGCAAGGGATCATGAGGATGATCGTCACCTCTGTGTTGCGTCACTTTGCCTCCCCCCTACGCCGGGGGATGTAGGAGGTCGATGTGGGAACGAAGCAGAACACAGCATGCCTTAGAGGTTTATGAGCAGACACATACACAAACAGACAATGGGTCTGCGGGAGTCGTTCCGGGTCTTAACGAACCAGGGCTGGCTTTTGATGGAAATGCATGTGGGAGAAGACTTGAGGGAGCCTACAATGTAATCGTACTAGCATCATGTCCGGACACTAATTGATTCTTGTCCACGTCTACTTCTGAAGAATCTGTCAGTCGTGTTTCGAAAGTGATCCGAGGCAATCGAGCAAGATCATATCTTCGCCTTGAAAAGCAGTGTCATTCAAGACAACACAGCTTTCTAGATGAATGCTCTGTATGCTTAACATCTCTACCGTCATCCTTGTCAACATCGGGTGCATCGTCCACGAGCCGTCACTGTGCCATTTGCCAGACAGACTCCCGAAAGCTGCCGGTGAGGCGATTCCCAAATACTAGGCATCAGTCCGAGAGATTGTCATTGGCCAAGACGACATGATTCTCTATCACGCGATACAAGCCAACCACAATTGACTGAAGAGTGGCCGATAGAGACGACCTGTAGGAGTGACGATAGGGGTGAAAGTAAGGCTCTTGAATTTCAAGTGAGACTTTGGAAAGAGAATAGTATTGGTGTATTCCGGGTGGCAGGACGGGAGTGGCAATTGGTCGGGGTGGGTCCGGCTCCGGCTTTAGGCCCACTTCTACGGCCTCAACAGGCCTTGCGTTGCCGAACATCACGATGGCCTCCCCCAGTCCGTCTAATCTTTCGACCTTTCACTCATTCTTTGAGCTGAATTCAACCCATTTCGAAGGACTGTATTTCGATTTCTCTCACTGTAGTCTCCAACATCTGGCTTGATTTAGCACATGACTCTAATAGTCGCTATCCAGCCAGCTGGCGTTGACACTTCCTCCGCAACTCAGTGTACTCACAAGCCCTTCACAGGTTTCTTTGAAGATACCCTGCTAGCCGCCTGATGGAATATGAAGCTTATCCATATGCCAATGGAAATAGAGGGAGGTATCAGGTAGATAATGACTGACAAGAGCCCTCTCCATCCGTCACGAGGCACAGCAGTCGCCATTAGAACGTATAAACCACCTAGGACTACAACAGAAACAATGAAATCTTGGTATACATCATGGCATCTGCAGCTGTAGAAAGACGAGGTCGATAGGCAGTAAACGCCGAATGTTATTAACATCGTATTCAGCAAGTGAGGCTCAAATGGTTCAGGCTGTGCGTTTCGTTGATTCGGCTCCTTTCTTTCTATTAGCAAACAAACGAGACGTCGGACAGTTGACTAACAGAAGGATTCAAATTGAGAAAGAACGCTGGCAACGCAGAATCGGTATCTTGGACGTCATTATTTGGTTTGACACTGGTGAGGGACAAGGGTGCGAAGGCCGACAGCAATGAAAGAAATCCAGAAGCAGAGGATAAGACCAAGTGAGAAAGAGAACTTTGCTTTCCTTGGCGAATCCTTTGGCATACGGCTGAATCGCAAGTAGATTCATTCGAGATAATCCGGTTGGTAACTTCAAATCCCGTTCTCCCTATGTTTGGTGTTTGGAACGAGCGAGAGTCGACCTGAAGTAGGAACAGTTGTGCAACCACCTTTCCCCGCAAGAAAGCCGGCCGTCGAAATGATAGATCGAGAGAGATACGGTTGAACTTTGAACAATTACGGATATATTCCAAGATAAATCAGCAGCGAGGCAAACATGCCAGCCTAAAATAGCCCAAGCCGCACTTGTACTAAGAAAAAACGATGACGATTGAGGAAATTTCATTCAATCGTTTCAGCAGCTAAGGAGATCTTGGCCAGTGTAGCTGGGTGTACCTAAATGGGACTATGCTGAATCTAGGAGTTGCACCTTCACCCCGCAGCTCTTCGTATTCGGAACCGCGTGGCTCGGACCTTCGAACCACTCACTGGCTGCATCATCCGATGATAGGAGCTTGCTCCAGCCGTTCAGATGGTGGTCCATTCCATTTGGCGGGCAGTTTTGACGTGCGGCAAGCTACGGGGGGGGGGGGGGGGTACTCTAGATAATTGTGTGCTGTAGCTCCCCCCGGACCGACAACTTCATGATCTTGCCATTTTAATCCTCACAATTCCTTCACTTCTACCAGATCACTTGTATCGTACTCTTACCGGCACAAGTACATCGATTGGTCTTTTTAGGGAGGCTGTCTTCGCCTTTCTCCAATCTCTTTCCGAACGACCACTTACGATCCCCGGTCTTTTGGACGGCCTGTCATACAATTCAATTTCCCTTTCACCAAAAACTTCCTTTGAACACCCAGATACAGGTGTAGGCAGGCTCTCGAACAATCAAGCATCCCAAGAAGGTCTTTTGGTAAGAATCCCGGACGATGCCCATTTCCAAGCTCCCTGAGTTGCCATAATTTTGCTAATACGAGGATAACCATAGACCACTGCCTCTTTCGAAGTCACACATGCAATACCCCACGAATACAGGAGGTATGCATGGTTCGGAAGCCCTCTCTTTACATCCTGGACCCTTAAGACAAACCAACCGATCGTCCCCCATCAATCCATACGCATATTCAAGGTCATTTCTTTGGAAAATTCTATTCACCCCAAGACGAGACTTCCTCGAGGCCAGCCCAGGTAGGCAGGGCCCTCCAGCCCAGATGGAAAACACACGAGCATCCACCAGCGCAACTTCAATCCCGTACGGCTACAAGACTTTTGAACCCTTTGAATAGGTTTCGAGGCTGCTTCGCAGTCTTGACATTTGGACTGCTGATAGCATCAGCAGTCGCAAGCACCGAAACGACATCGACTGATCAATCCCCGAAGCCCGTGGGCGCTCTTTCGGAAAACTGGGTCACCAATAGTGCCAACCAGAATGCAACCTTCTGCGCAATAGTGGTGGTTGGCCTCTTTGTTACCTGCTACCTGGAAACAAAAGTCCTAAGTTTCGTTGGCCTTGTGACCACGATAGTCTTCTACGGCCACTTCTTCCTCACCATAGACCGCAACATATTGGTCTCGAGTATGTAAGTCACATACATGGACTGGATATCAACATGATCTGATCGCTATTATAGGCTCTACATAGCCTGTCTTATGTACAGCTACTTGCACTTGAAAGCTACCATTAAACCGTACGGAGGCCAACTGTCACTGTGGGTTTGTCCTTGAAGCTGCAGGACACAATAATTGCGCTAATACACATCATTCTAGTTTCGCTCTGGTGGTTTGTTTCCTTGCCGGCCTCTTCGTATGGCCTATAGCCGGCTCCTGGTGGTCATCTGAATGTAAAGCGGCGGCGCTCAGAGATCGACTCCTTTTCGAATTATTGCCCTTCTATATTAGTATCTCGACTTTGATCGTCTGTTGGCTCACCAACGTTCTGAAAGGGACAGCGGGGATCAACCAACAGGCTATGGCGAGACTTCCTGTCGCCATCCCAGATCGTCGACCCGAACAAAACTTTCAGCGCCTTGGGCAAGACTTCGCCCCTTGAGATGTGAGAAGGTCACCATCTTTGGCCTCACGAACCAGCTACTACTGATCACGATTAATCGTGATAATCATTGTGAAACTTACATGTGACGATACCAACCAGGGAATGCTCGAATTCGGCGTTTTGATTCATTTGACCTGTCACTTCCAGGAGTCTAGGCATGGATGCAGGGGCATTGCAGGAGAGATCAGGAATAGATCACAACGGACGTCAACGACCATGCATAACAGGATTGATTTCACGATATATACCACAAAGATAGAATACGTTCTGACTTCATAAGGAGGAATTACCCCCTCAGAGTACCGTACCGCAGTTTAGGTACCAAAATGCACAATTTTGGGCGGTCTCTGATAGCACTCGCTTGGTTTCAACGTACATATTCCATTAGTATTATATTTACTCTCCTTCTATCATTTATCCTCAGCTCTCGTTCATGTGACTTTCAAGAAGCAAGTAAACTCCAATAGGCACATCGGTTGAAAGGGGCGGAGCTGAAGAACCAGATGGTGACATAGATGGGTATTGCGCTGATAACATCAACAGCAACGCGAAAGATAGATCGTGAGATTTTCAACCGATATCTGACAGGAACCTCAACTCCGGTAGTTGTCGAAGGGGTCAAAGTCAGGGTATCGAGCCTCCCGAAGGTATCCTCGACGCCCTACTGCCAGTTCCTAAAGTTCTCGAAGAAGAATGGGATAGTAGAAGTTCAGTTTCGTCAACACCATCCCATTCCACCGGCTCTTCTTTGAAACGCGTCTCGGTGAGGAAGCTTTCTCGCTCTACTTTCCGTAGAAGAGTGGGCTAGGTTTGTCTTTCAAGCGCCAAGGACCAGCTTTGTGCATCACAACTCCAGCCCACCGCAAGACTGTGGACACTACTGGCCTACTTGGTTCCAACTTGCTGCGTATATCGTACGGGGAAAATGAGTACAAGAATGAACGGTGTTTTGTACATATCAAAGCTAGACGGCTCATCTCTAGGCATCTGGGAAAGACTCGATCGTCTACCTACTCAAAGTATGTATCTCGATTCACTACGTTTACTAATCTAATTTAGGATACTCAATGAAGCCAACAGAGTCCACCTCCTCCCCAGACTCCCCATGCATGCCCACAAACGACCGACCCGCGCTCGGGACAAACGTAACACACCGATCATTCGTCCTCGTCCCAACCTCCAAAGACCGGTCAAAACTAGTCACCGCACGAAAGAACCCGACGCGGTCCTTCTTCTTCTTCCGGCCGTTGCACACCTCCGTCATGACCCAGTATTCGCCCTCCTCCAGCGTCAGCTCCTTGTAGTTCCCGCCGCCGCCGCCGTGCTCCTGCGCCTTGTCGAGCCCGTCCATCTTGACGCCGAGCGCGTCGACCCGCGCGGCGCCGCGGCCAAAGATGGAGACGACGCGCACGCTGTCGAGCTTGGCGAGTTCCGTGCCGTCTTCGAACGAGGTTGAGCTGCCTGCCGGTGCGCCGCGGTAGATTTCCCGAAAGGTGAAGCCCACGTCGGCGAATTTGGTGAGGTCGATGTCGGAGACGATGGGGATTGTGGTCCAGCCTTTGGCGGCTGCGAGCTTTTGGACGAGGAACTCGGCGGCGGGTTTGGCTGAGGGGCGGTAGTCTCTGTGGCCTGGCATTACGGCGCCGAGGGGTAGGCCGTTGCGGCTTGAGTCCCAGTGGTGTTAGTCACGACGTCGTCATATCTTCAGATGGAACAAAGGGAGGAAGGAATGGGGATGAAGGACTCACCAGACCGGATCAAACTTATTGCAAAACACCTGCACTCTCTCCGGCGTCAAACCGGGTATCGTGTTCTTGTTGTACACTTGCATGGTATTGCCAAACGTCACGGCGGCCACGATGCGGTCCTTATATTCCGACCCCAGCCTATCCGAGATCACGCGCGAAAGCATCGCAGCACCTTGGCTGTAGCCTCCAACAAGGACATCAGAGTCGGAGCACTGGTCCATGTACTCGCGGATCTGGGTGCTGGCACTCGTGACCTCGCGCGGCCGGCACAGCTGATTGTTGACGCAGAGGTTGTCCGACAGTGTTGCCGCGTACTCTATGCCCTGGATGGCGATCTTGTCTGGGCCTAGGGTCGAGCGGAGGTACGCTGCGAGTTGGGGGCCTGGTTGGAGGCCCTGTTGGTGGAAAAGGTCTTTCGTCAGCTTCTTGTTGCGACTGAGGTTACGGCTTCGAGGGCTCATGAGCCGGGTTCACACACCATGTTTGGTTGTTGAGTGCTTCCGCGGATGAAGAAGAACATAGTATCCTTGCAGGTGCCATCGCGGACCTCGTTCTCCAAGACACCTTTGTCTGACGAGTCCTGTTGTCGCGTCTGAAGAGAGTGGGCGGGTTGGCTTGTTTCTTCACGAGAGTTGCTTCTTGACGTTGCCCTTGCGAGACCCGGCGTCAACGCGCACTGCAAGGCGAGTATGATAGCTGTAGATCTCTTCATGATGCCGAGAAAAGTGTTGTAAAGAGCGTATATGGGTCAGAACTTGAACACTTGTTTTTCCTGGAAAGGAAACACCACTACATGAACGAAAGCATATCGAGGTCTGTAGTTACAAGGGAAATGGTTTTTGCAATGTCTATGAATTACGTTTCCTGAAGCTTGGACTGTGAACGTCAATAAGAGCGAGTGTTTTCCCTTTCGCTTCAGCAACTAATATTAAGGAACGTCAAATGAGCGCCAATGTCTTTTCAACCTTAATTGATTATATACAAGGGCCATACCTTAATTTGTGGACGAACTATGTTAGTCTCATTACTTTTCCCGGCGGGTTGTCCGGCACCTCCAGGGCTGCGGGTCGGAGGGATGGTACAGCTTCGGCCGTGAGCTGGATCATATGGCCGAGTTAATCGACCGGATACGCCAGACATAAACGATCTTCGCCTGCCCCTGGCGGTAACATCGCGAAATCGCCTGTAGCTCCTCGGACTTCGTCCACCAGAACTCCGCCATGATGACATGCTTGACGGCTGTCAAAGTCACATCAGCCCAGCATGTATCCTATTTAAAGCAGTCTATCTACCTCATTCCTAGTTATCATCCTCGTATACCTAAATGTATACTTAAGAAGGCGTTAGGATAGTTAGGATAGTTGGAACCTTTAAGATGGATAGAATGGATGGGATAAAATCTTGAAAAAACCATTAAAGCCCTTGACAGCGTGCTTTTGAGGTACAAATTCGGGAGACCTTCCTGTGGCGGTGTCGGCGTCTGGCTTCTATATCATGTCTATCCGCCGACAGCTTCTTCCAATTTCATCTACCACTTCCTTTAGAACATTCCACAGAGTGTATGACGGTAACAGATTGATTCTCTCCCCTTGCGATTGAGACTTTCAAAGAGACCCCCCCTCGACAGCGCTAACCAGACGCAACATACAGTCACTTAATACTTGTTCATGAAGCGTCAAGTGTTGACGCACTAATCACTCTATCGACGACGAAGGTACAGAACTAGATCCCACTCAAACACAGGAAAGTTAATACGTGGAGCCGCGGTCTTTGCTAACCATCTCATCTAAAAAATCGTTCCCACTTCCAGGAAGACTCTTCCCTTGACCCACGTAGCCCACGTCGCACCTCGTCGCCCACCCCCGGACTTGCTACATCTATGCCAAGTCGGCTCCCACTTCCAACCAACTATCACTGGATGCTCACATCCACACTTCCCCGATAGTCTAGTGGTGAGGATATCTGCTTGTCAACCGGGAATTTATCCCTAAGTCGATTCGCAGGGGACCGGGGTTCAATTCCCCGTCGAGGAGTTATTTTTGCCCTTTCTGCGTTGTGCTGCTCTCTAGAGTTGATTTCAATGTGGTGGACAGTCGTTGTGGCGTCTTGGACAGCATTTCAAACTTGAAGTGAGGAAATATTTACACTATGTGCCCTAAAGTGTATTTCAGGACAGAGTAAGTAGCTTTTGGTCCTGCTATTCTTGTGCTTGAAGCAGGCAGGTACTCTTTATGTAGTCAGCCAACAGAACCCTCTCATGGATTGCTCCTGTTCTCTTTATCTGATACTACAGATCATGATCGATGATCCTGTTGCACGCCGTGTCTCTCCAAAGAAATCTGCACGATCCAGCAGCATACTAGATTAGACATGCTGATGTAGAATGGCAACACAACAATCTGCAACGGCTGACCTGTTGATGCGGACTCGTTTGCTCCGTGGTGAGCGAGTACAGCAGCTAGGATAAGAATAGATACGACCAGGCTTTCCATGACTATTAGCTGACTGGATTTTGAAAGAAGCATGCATCGCAAGAAACTTACTATTGCAACTTGATGTCATACTTTGTGATCGTGAAAATGGTGAAAGACTGGTTGATCCGAAGGAGTATGAGTGATAATCTTCTCAACGGTCAGATTCGACAGGTCCTATGGAACATCGACACGTCGTCCGGAACTTACACTAAACACACAACCCCGTTGGCCTTGGAATCGTGGACGTAGCAGACGTGCGTCAGCGACGCAGTCAATAACGCCCAGAACCCGGCGCTCTCTTGCCGGGTAAAACGTATGACAACTAACCAACCGCCCAGCACTATGCAAAGGAGGACCTGGATTAGAAGATTAAGATCGAGCTGGCTGACATCTTTGTCGAGCATGATGTCAGCTGCTAACGTGCGCGTCTCAGTAGCGCCGCTGCTCTCGGATGGAACTGGGTGCGCCATCGCCCCCGGAAAGACGGACCCATGTAGACAGAGAACCAGGAATGGAAGAGTCAGTCTGAGTGCGACCAAGGGATGAATCCTCGTGGAAATCCTGGGCCGGTCATGGGCTGATACTTGTGACGGAGCTTTGCCTAGATTTGATCCTTGGATCTCCCGCTCTTGTTTCGAAGCTCCGTCCCCTCTGTCGGGCTTGGCCAACTCTCCTATCCTCTTGAAGGGTAGTACATCGATATTCTCAAGGCCGTGAAGAGATGAGGCCAAGGAAGGGCCGACTGGATTTTGGTTACTCTGTCAGTTATGAGTTGCAAGACGCCAGCATAGAAGAAAGCATGGGCTAGAAGCGGTCCTTCCACGTACGGTGCGAAATGTCTGGTGCGGGAATGGTCTTTGGTCCATCGGTCCGGATCTGGAGATAGTTCTGGATCTTTAGGGCCACGGTCTTGGTATCGAATTGCATGCCTGCACTTGGTTCCGGCATTGGGTTCCTTTGCTGAACACTACGTGCCCGTGTGCTATGAGCGGCTGCTCTAGGATCTTCTGAGTGCGTGACCATTCACACAGTTACATTCGTGAATGTGCCTAGGATGAGCGATCTTCAAGAGCGCAAAATTGTACATGAGATGAAGTAAGACCTCGGAAAGCTGCTTTTGAAACTTGGATGCTATCTGATAGACGAGTAATGAGATAGATGATGTGAAGCAAGGTAGAAAATAAGCTTGAGAGCAGAGTCTTAGAAGTAAGGCAGATAGTAATGTAGACGCGCTGTTATCGTGAAAGCTATGCAACCATCTTCACCAAGTGCTTTGTCTGACGCGTGGTTGAATGACGGCCATTCAGTTACCTCAACCACGCGCCCTGAGTGAGGGAAAAGCCCACGGCCTACAAGCATGCCGCACTGCATTCCGAGGCGAACTCCTATAAAGCGGGACCAACGGTTCGCTCTCAAGCTTTGAGCTGTGTAGACTTGTAAAATGGTGGTTGCGCGACAGCCTGGGGATAGGTTTGACCGGTCTTAACCAACCCTTCCGAACGGGGCTGCGAAGAGTTGATGGGTAATATATAGGTTGGTGGGCGGTGCCGCCGATGTTCCCAGTCCCAGCCTGATCATGCAAATAAGCCTTACGATGCCCGACTGGCTCTGGCCCACGTAACCCACTACCACCACCTATTCTGGGATTAGAAAGTGTACTTTTCCCGTCAATCTGTCGTTGCGCGACCTCCATCACTTTGTTTACAAGCAAGAAACATCTCTCCACCACTTCAGCCAGGGAAAGTTCCTTGACGACGCGCGTACCGACAGGATACTCCAGAGGAGTCGGCAGACGTGGCAGAGTGTGGTTTAAACCCCCGAGACAGAGAATACTTGATGAGTGCGGCTGTGAGACTGCGAATTTCAATTCAGCCATGTGCAATGACACTCCGAATAGCGAACTAAGTGGGATGCAGCGATCAATCGCGACGGCTGTTGCGGGAGTGGTGTCAGTGATATCGTCGCTATTCCTTAGAGACGTCATACAAGTGTACCTCATTGAATTGTTTGAGATGATGCCCGAATCCTCCACGGCTTTTGGTCATGAAAGGGTAAGTGTTCAGGTGGAAAGGGGGCAGTGTCCGACCAGCCTACTGAACGAGAAATAGGAGCCGAAGCCAGAGACTCATCACTCCACCATCGTCTCATTACTCATTTTCAACATTTACTCCATCTCGACTTACTCCTTCAACTTGCTCAGACGAAATGATCCATGGAAGAATCGGATTATTGCAGGTTCCTTTGCGGTCAGCGTGGTTACCGCTTGTCTCACAACGGCGGCGCTGGGAGATGGCGAGACAAGTTTTGCGGACTTCATCGCCACAGCGCCACTTCTGATCCCACTGAGTCTTTGGTTCAGCGTCATCGGTCACTCGATGTGGAATCGCTGGTCGATGCGGTCAAATGATGGGAAGGCGCTGCGTTGAAAACCGGTCGGAGATGGATATGCAGCTTTGTGTGAGGGAGGGAGATACGGGGAAAACTATTAAGAGACGTTATCTATCTATGAAAAATCCATTATCTTTCTCGCTCGAAGCGTACGGTATGAAAACATCCCATCAGAGAGTGATGGAAGGCAAAAAAACACCCACATACCTACTCCCGCAGAGTTGCCAAGTCCAACACATCCCCCGCCTGGCCAAGCTTCTCAATCTTGCCCTTGGACAACAAGACTACGGCATCCCGTCCCGGCCGCATGCCCTCCGTCACGCCGCCCAGCCTATGCGTGATTGCTATAACGGTGTGTCCCTTCTCCGTGAACTCTTGGTGTATGATGTCGCGTATGGCAGACTCGGTCTCGGTGTCGAGCGACGAAGTGGCTTCATCCAGAAGCAATATTGGCATAACATCTTGACGTTCGGTTCCGTTTGCCGATGGGTTGAACGAGTGGTTGATGGATTGGAGTTGAACGAGGGCTCTAGCTAGTGCGAATAGTTGCGATTGGCCAGTGGAAATTTGCGGTAGGGAGGATAGTGGGCTATCCAGGGTGTTGCGGGTTTCCTCCTCAGATGGTGTGTCTCTTAGGTGAAAGTGTGATAGAAGGCCGAATCTCTCAAGGGCCGGGATAATAGTTTCATCCGGGAGAGAAGTCGAGGGCTGAGTGGTCAGTAGGTCAGCAGAGACCTCACAAGTATTGAGAAGAGAATCGTACATCGAGATTGAAGCGGAGACTGGCATGTCCAAGGATGAATGAGTCTTGAGAAACCGTGATGAAGCACTTTTGTCGAATCAGAGAACGTGGCACGAGACGTAGGTCGACCCCGTCGACCTTGATGCTTCCTGCAACCGTGTCAAGAAGACGTAGGAGTGTAAGTAGCATGGTGCTTTTGCCACTGTTTTCGCAACGTGTCAGCAGAGACCAGGATATGAGCTTTTGACACGGTTGAGTGCAACACACCTGCCCGTTCGACCACACACGATCAACTGCTGGCCGGGAGACACTTTCATGGTGATGTCTTGCAAAGCTACTGAGTCGGAGCTGCAAAGAGGGTCAGTATACAGGAACAGCTACACTGTTGATAGTTGCCTTACTTGTATGAGACAGTGACCTTGTCGAATTCGACAGCTCCAGATGACGGCCATGCCTCCGTAAAGTCCTCATGCGGCTGATCCTCTTTCGGCGTATCAGCCTCCAAGGTCTTCAAGCGAGATCTACCGAGTCATTAGTGAATCAGTCAGAAAGACGAGAAGGAAGAGAAAGTATACATGGCACCCAGGGAAATCTCCATATTCGTCCAAGATGTCACAAGGCTCAGAAACGTCGCGTTCGCAACCAATACGATATTCAACGCCATACCAATCTGACCGGCCGTCGTCGTTCCCCTGACATAGACTGCGATCGTGATGAGGCCGGTGGCAATCGCGGCAACCATGAGATCCAAAACGATGCCCAGCCACTGCTGGAGACAGAAGAGGATATAAGCCGGCTTCTGCGACTTGTCAAGACAGACCACGTTGGCGTGCTCGGCTTGTTTCTCCCAGCCAAAGGCTCGGATGGTCATGACGCCCTCAACCTATATTGTTGTTAGTCGCAAAATAGCCAGAGGCGGAGGTGTGATCGGTACTGATTCGAGGAAGCTTGAGTAGACCGCCGACTGCGACTCGAGATCCAACAGGCGCAATTGTCGCGAGGTGCGTAGATACACCCGTTGTACGAGGTACACGACCGCAGCGCAGAGGGGCAGCGTCAGGGCCAGCATTTTCTGTGCGCTGAGTAGCAATACTACCTGCACGAGCAACTTGAATACCTCTGTAGCCGACCATTAGCAAGGGGGCTTTGATTTCAAGTGAAGGTGAACTTACGGACTGACATGGACATGATGGCCGGCGGTAACTGCCTATCTACTAGCTGAATGTCCTGACCGAAGCTGTGACGACTCAGCACAAGCTATAGCTGCGTAGGGCCGTGACTTACCGATTCAACGTGACTCCAGTGTCTGTTTTTGAGAAATACGACAGTGGGGCGCTGCTTTTGATCAGTGAATGTAGGCGGCAGCGGACGAGGTGAGTGAGATTGCACGAACCCGATGATGGTTGAGAGCAGGCGGCGGTGCAGCTCGATGCCCGAAGCGGGTGCAATCAGGATCTGGGCGGTCCTTGGACCAAATCAGTGCCACGATCAGCCATCAGGACCATGCGTACTCACCACATCAATGCGCTGGTAGCAATCCATGCCAGTAGGGACGATATGAGGTACCCGCCAATGTAGAATGTCGTCTGGGATACTGGCGCCTCTGTCCACTTTTGCAGCCAGTACTGAGGGAACGTTACGAAGAATGAATATGTCGAGGAGCAAGTGAGCAGAATGAGGATGTGCCGAAGGCCTATAGCCCGGAAATAGTAGCCTAGGGAGAAACAGACGTGTTAGTGTGCGAGAAAGGTCAAGAGAACTGAAACGTACCATAGAGAGAGAAGTCTCCTGTTGCCCTGCTGAGGTCGGAAGCAGCCTCGGCCATCTTCAGCTTTTGGTTCTGCACGGTCTTGTCCACTTGAGGCTGCTCCACGACGGTATCGTTCTTCGTCTCGTCAATGTCGACTTTCAGTGACGCGTACTTGGAGTTTTGCTTCAGGCCATCCCACGTCCCTTGGTACGCAATGGCTCCGCCGCCGAGGACAACGAGCTGGTCTGCTAAATGGAAATGCGCAGCTATACATTGTCAGTCTTCGTATAGTTTCTATGCGACAGTGATGTAAGGGGCGTACTAGAATGAGTAACAAGGAAGACAGTTGTGCCGGTCTTCTTGAAATGGCCTGCAGAACCAAACAGACTTTCCACAACACGACTTTCTGTTTTGCCATCAAGTGCGCTGAAGCTATCGTCCAGGATCACAATCTCACTGCGGGCATATATAGCTCGAGCAAGAGCCTTGAGAGTTATGGTCAGTAAAGCGAACCACTTTAATCTGAAATTTCAGGCGGCAATGAGGAAGGAAACCATCCTGTATCGAAAGATGGGAGGAAGGGACCATGATGATGCAAACGTACCACTCGTTGTCGTTGTCCTCCAGAAAGATTCAAGCCCCGGCTTCCTATCATGGTATTGTCCCCATTGGGAAGTGCCAAGAGATCTTCATCGAGACAGCATAGTTGAATCACCTCCTGATACCAGCTTGTCTCCTCCGGAAGGAAACCACGGACTGCTTGGCTAAGGGTGCCACTCTGTAGCCAAGGCGACTGCTCGCAGTATCCGATCCGCTTCGTCGACACAGATACTGTCCCAAAAGCTGTGGGAACCTCACCCAAAAGAGCCCTAACAAGCGTCGTTTTGCCGCTCCCAACTGGACCAGAGCACATGACTATCGATCCCTTGTCGATGACGAAGTTGAGATTGCTCAGGACCGGAGGTTTCGACGGGGTGAGCCCTTGGATAGTGACGTCTTTCAAAGATACGGCGGGTGAAATATCGACGAGACTGTTTTCTGCTTTGTCGAACAGAAGTCTCTGGTCATCTCGGGGCGGCTCAGCGAGGTATTGCTGAATCCTTTCAAAGGCCGCCAGCGACCCTACGGCTTGCGGTACAATAGTCATAATCATATTCGCAGGGTGCGTCACCAAGCCGAGTAGCGCCGTAGTCGTGAACGCAGTCTCGACATCGAGTGCGGAACCATTGAGTCTCGCCACGATCACGTAGAGAACGAGCGTGAGAATTGGGGCGAAGATACCGAGAGCGTTTGCTGTAAGCAGTCAGGAGATTCAGTTATACCTCGAAATCGGATGAAATGACATACCACTCGCATTATAAGCAACCATCATCCACCGGACCTTCTTGGCCATATCTAGCTCTCGCAAGCGTAAAGACAGGATCAGAGATTCCGTATAGGCTACAATCCCAAGCATCTTCAAACTCTTGACCGAGCCAAGCATTGAAGTGGTCATGGCAATTCGGTTATGGGTAGCCACAGACCAGTCCTTGTGCTTACTCTGGAGGTTCTTTGCCAAATATCGGCTCACCCGAGAGCAGACTATATAGATGATCAATCCCTAGTCTGAGCAGAAGTGCTAGTGTTGAACTCACAAAAGATCATGACGAACGGAACCGCGCAAACCCATCCGACTCGCCGGGCCAACATCACAGTGCCTAAGGCGACCTCAATGATCTGCGCCCAAGTCTCGTGGAACATGGAAGCGGACTGAACCACGTTGTCTGCGTCTGTGCTCATCAAAGTCACCGCTCTTGCATCGTCGTAGCCAGCAGACTGTTTATTGAGCGACTTGTTGTTCAGCAGACCAACAACGGCGCCCCGAATCATAACCTTAAGACGGTTGAGACGGTGCTGGTATGCGGCTCTTGAGATCTTGAACGCGGGTCAGTATTGTACCGCACGATACTTCAGGCGACAAGACTTACAGCCAAGCCCACATAGACGACGACGGCCATCGGCACAACCGAGTACCCGCCATCTGAAGATTCCTCGGATGATTTATTAATAGAGCGAATGGCAGTACCGATGAGGACCGGCTGAGCGTAGCGGAACCCGACGAGAACCAATCGAGGAACGATGGGCGCAAGAAATTGCGGAAGCATACTAAGCAACAGAACCCTGGGTAGCGTCAACTTCTTCTCGGGTTTATCTAAGGTTTCTGTTAGCATAACTTGACGAATTACGCTACACCAGCGGAAAGAAAGGTGTACCTCTCTGATCCCAAGCTTCCAGAGCTCGTTGGCGTCGAAGTTGCGACGATAGCTTGCTGTCCATCGTCGGAAGGCAGTCTCCGGTCAGAATATATTTGTTCCCCCGGACAAGAAGCGGATTGATCCATCCGAAGACGGTTCGATCCAAAATACTAGACAATTCCTCTGGAGACCACTGGTCACGAAGACCTTGTAGAATTGCGTGTTTTCCTCGAATTTCAACAACAAGAAGCACGCCCTTGACAAAAAGACTCGCAAGGGCCGGAGCGACGATTATGGCGGACTCATTGTCAAAGACTCCAGTTCCCAAATCAACCAACTCGCACCCCGAGGATACAAGTAAATAGACAACGGCGAGATCCGACGGTCTGACGGACCTGGTGTGCTCCAGCTTGAGCAGTGGGCAGAGGCCCACGTATGCTATCAAGGACACAATGGCAGAAGCTAGATCAATCCCAAGTCGAGATGTCGAGAGCGCTGTTGTGGCGAGTATGACCGACTGGGCCACAACCAAGATTATTGCGAGAGTCTAGCTTTAGTTTAGTTTGGTTTCTAAAAAGCTGCATTACTCATCACTACGCACAACTTTGCCATGGCCATGTTGTTCCGGGATGACCTTGATCGTTTCTTTGCGAAGCTTCGATAGACGGAACGGCAGCAACAGCAGGAATAAGGCTGATGCCGCGGTCGACAGAATGAGCGGGTTTGAAAGCATGGCCGCTCAAACTCAGCTCTCGGTCGTTCTTGCTCTTCCCTTTCCCTCGCGTCGAGTTCTTCTCTTCTTATCTGCGTCGCTATGCATTCAGAAGTGGCAGTGATTGAGGCAAGATGACAGAGACACAATCAATAGGCTAGGTCTGGATGCGAGTGTTGTTTCTTTGAGCGTTATGGGCCTTGTCAGCCGCGTGCCGTGCAACCGTATTTGGTGAACAAGGGTGTTCAGAACCAACGTCAGTAGGTCTCCAAGGCCCTTTGGAGTGTTTTGGGATAACTACGGCCGATGATGTCCATTCACGGAGGAGTGTTCAAGTTGAGCGCTTGGCCAGGTTGAATACGATTTTATAGTGTAGGCGAGATGCACAAGACATACGAGGTCTGTTTACTTGCTTGAAACCAACTGCTTCCATTCCATGCGCGGCACAGCTGCAGTCCCTTATTGACCCTGGTCACCTTCCCTATTGGAGTTAAAGGGCTGCGTCCCCTGCAGGAAGTAAGCAACACTTCCCCCGTTGGTGTCGGGAAGTCCGAAAAGACAGACATTGCGCGAAATGCTTCAATCTGGCGCCGAATGTGTAAGTCTGCAAAATTGACGATGCTGGTATTGAGTCTTGCAGAACACCGCACGATGCTTCTATTGCTGACGACATCGCCAAATTATTGACCAAAGCAAGCTCTGTATTGAACAGTCCGGAAATTGCTTGCAACGACAGATTTCTCGAGACGATGACTGCCTCTTCTTGTCGCGTCTCAGGCATTTCTGCTTTTCAGTCCCTTAGTCTTGCTCGACTAATTGTTCGATGGTCATCGTGATGTCTTGCTCTAGATAAGTATGTGTGCATCGGGCTGATGCTGTTTCTCTTGCCGACTTCCGATGAGCCGATTATTGCCCGAGCAAAGCTCTCTAAGAACACGGGGTTTACTGTGTTTTTGCTGGTACTACTCGACGATAGAGAGCTAGCCAGATACCTCGAACTATGTCGCTATCCCAAATCCATCTACAGAATCAGTATAGGTGACAAAGTTGCACGCTCTCATCAAGTCATCACTTGTCAAGAACCCGCGCCTTGACGAAGCGGTTGATTTGTTCCCGAGAGAGCTTATCGTTGTACTGCTCGTGACAGTCGTAAAACGAAATCAACTCTTGAGTGCAATCGACCATGGCAGCGATATCAACGTTGCTCTCGGCCAGCCAAGCACCGTACCGTTGCACCCGGGTGAACCTAGCCTCCGGTTGCTTCTCTTTATCCGCAGGGTTTGGTGTTCCGGGAGTCGGAGGCAGTCCAGGCACTCGGCCTTGGGCCTGAGCTAGCGCTGCGCTTGCAGCAGCAATACCTGCGGCGGATGGTGGGTTCGAACCAGACATGTTAGGTGATGGTCGCAGAACCAATACAAGCAAGATTGCTGTAAGGGCAATCGTGTGTGGCGGGTATAGCAGTGGTAGATCCGTCATGTAGTGGTCGTTGATGATGGACCAGCCCAGGGCGACGTCCTCCTGGGTCAAATTCAACTCCTGTTGGTAGTTGTTCAGGGTTCGATACGGTTGGTGAACTATAAGCTGAGAGCTCATCTCGGATATCATGAAGAACTCGCACTCGCCGAGCTTCGAGGTGTCCAGACCGAGGAAATCAGGCCACAGGGAGCGAGCTTCACTGACGATCAGGCGGATATGCTGCGGAGACTCTTCCATCTTGCAGGCCAGATACAGCGCGGTCGCGACGACCAGGTACGGATTTGTTCGCCGAATTTCGACCTTGGTGTAGAAGCGTTTGATATAGACCTGGGCGGTTGCCATGGCCTGCTGTCGGACTACCATGCGTTTGCCGAGCCGAGCAACCTCTGCATCGGGAATTGAGTCAGCAGATGGATATGATGAAGGGAGCAGCAGGCAAACTTACGCTGGTTGAAGTATATGCCCAGGTGCCGCTGTTGCGGGAGAGGAAACATCTGGACGAGATCGGCATTGTCGTCTTCGAGCTTCTGGCGCACGGCTTGAAGTTCATCTTTGGAGAAGAGCCAGAAGCGACGCTGGGTTGACTCCCAGTAGTTGGCAGCCATGATGACCTCTCCCGGGCGTTTGATGAAGTCTATGACATGATTTGTGTCTGCAATGACCTGGAGAGGTTAGAGGAGATGCTGTTGAGGAGCAGCGAGGCTGATGTGTGAAGTTGGCTGGAAGGGTGGCTGCGAGGCTGGTGCAACACGGCACAGGTACACGGGCACGACGGGGCAGATGAACTGTGGCTGGTGTTTTCCCCCGATAACGATAAGGCGGAAGATGTCCGTCCGGTCTCAGGGAACCACCTCGCTGGAGCTGTCTGCTGGAGCACTGTAAGCTCCCGGGAGCACTGCTAATTGGTGGCAGCTGATTGCCTCGCTTGGCCCGCCAGTGGAGACCTCCCCTGGGTAGCCGAGCTTCTGACGCTGTGGCTCCGGCGCGAACCACTTGCGGCAGGCGGTGCTACATTTTCTTGGTCGCTGCACCTCGCGATCCTCCTACGTCAGTCCTTATGACTTGCAGCATGCAAGCAAGCCAGTCGCGACAACACCAACCAAAGCCTTGTTTGATAACCCGCCATGTCGTCGTGAGACAGATCCCTCGATAGAACCCCGCGATTTCCACCTTTCTACCGCCGTATCGCCCTATGAATCCCGCGTCGAGACCGAGCCCCCGACTCTATTGACCCTGCGTCCTGATGCCGCCGCCGCTATGGGGGTAACAAATTGGGTTACCGAGCGCCAGATGGAGGTGGACGAGTCGCAGAACCAGCGGGATAAACGGGTCGAGGACCTCTGGAGGCAATTGGATCCCCAGGGGACGGGACATTTGGACTTTAAGGGGTTGCAGAAGGGGTTGAAGAAGATTGATCACCGTCAGCATCAAATTCTGTCCGGAGCTCCCGTGTGGCCTGGGTGCTGACGTTGCCCTTTAGCTATGAAAAATGCGGACGATATGTTGCGGAGGATCATGACCGTCGTCGACACGAACGACGACGGCGTGATTCAGTATGAAGGTAAGCTACAGATTGGGGGGGGGCCTTGGTATGAGGCTGGAGCTACTGGCCGGGTTCCCCTGTTTTGGGTTGGATATCGAGGACGGCTGCTGACGATGACCTCTCACCAGAGTTTCGTTACTTTGTCGAGCAGACAGAGAGACAGCTCAAGCTTCTTTTCCAGTCTATAGACAAGGACCATGATGGGAGACTTGACAAGACTGAACTACAGGAGGCCTTCCGACGGGCCGGGCTGGTTGTGCCGATGCGCAAGCTCAGCTCATTTTTTGGCGACATCGACATGAACAACGATGGCTATATAAGCTTCGAAGAATGGCGGTAAGTCTTTCAACATTCAGTAGAGTGTGTTATGAGTCTATGGTTGTTGCTGTAAGCCCACGCTGTAAAAGCGAGATGTAGGGTAGAAGGGGGCCGATGACCCGGTGTATCTGGCAAGGTCCGGATTTAGGTAGCTCAGGGGCACGGTGGCCGGCCGTGATGTTCTCGGTGTGGCTCGGTGTACAAGTGTATGTATACCTGAGGTGGACGGGAGTCTTTTACAGATGGGGATGCCCTGCCTGGTGTTGTTGTCGGGTTGCTCCTTCCTCTTTCTCTTTTCGGAAAAACCTCTCATTTTCTGCTTGGAAGTGATTCACTGACAGTACCCGGCACGCGCAGAGATTTTCTTTTGTTTATGCCAACACACAATGGCCACGCCCCTCTGAAGGCCGTGTTGGACTTTTATTCTTCCATCGTCACCCTCACTGCTGAAGGTGACTCGATGGTATCGGAGGAGACACTTGAAGGTTTAGGTACGACCGGCTTCCTTCTGCAAACCCTCTTTGGATCCATTTTGAGGATCGCATCCCCTTCGGATCGTGAGCCCGCCACCACTACCGAGTCTTTTACTGCCGCCAACACCGTCGACGAAAACGGCCGCCCCGTGGTGATGGTTTTCCCTTCCCAGGAAGGCGCTGCATCGCCCGTTCCTACCACAGCTGCGCAGCTTCCCACCTTGTCAAAATCGCAGCAAATACAACAAACTTCACCAGACAGCCTCACTTCTGCCACAGATTCCGCCCAGCAAACTTCCTCTTCGTCAAAAACAACAACAACAGCCACATCAGCAACCGCGACTACCGCAACAACGCAAGCCGTGGTACCCATCACTCCTCCGGGCTTCTCAGGTACCAGCGCCAACATGAACAATATGAACATGGAGGCAGCGGTGCTGCAGGCGTGCATCGGGGCCGGAAACGAGAAGCGCACAGGCATCCTTCGAAGACTCCCCGGCGTCGGCACCTCTCAAGCGAACCAGGTCACAGACAGCAGCTCCGAGCAAGGCTCTAGCTCAGATGCAACTGTAGCACCCAAGACCAAGAGACTGACTGACTTCGCCCCTGATCCAGGTTACTTTGTCGCAGGTGCCGTCGCTGGAGGACTGTCGCGGACTGCCACCGCTCCTCTCGACCGTCTCAAGGTCTACCTGCTCGTCAATACTCGAGCCAGTACCGAGACTGCGGCCTCTGCTCTGAAGCAGGGACGTCTGCTGGTTGCTCTGAACAACGCTATGCGACCCTTCAGTGATGCCGTCAAGGATCTCTGGAAGGCAGGCGGCATGCGCAGTCTTTTTGCAGGTACGCCCATGCTCATGCTCATGCTCATGCTTATTGCTCTTGGCTTTTGGTCGATTTTGGTCCATTATTCTGTCTATTACTTCCTGGGCTTGAACACGATTGGCTAGCGACAACTGAATAACTACTTGAACCGTGTACTGACTGCTCCAAGGCAACGGACTCAATGTCATCAAGATCATGCCCGAGAGCGCCATCAAGTTCGGATCCTATGAGGCCGCAAAGCGAACCCTTTCTAAGTTCGAGGGACACTACGACCCCAGACAGATCAGCAGCACCTCAAAATTCGTGGCGGGTGGTGTAGCTGGCATGGTTGCCCAGTAAGTCATTTCAACTCAAGACTCCTCTAATTTGGCCTCATTTACTTTGGC